TAATGTGCCACCTAGTACTCTATTTACGTCCTCGAGAGTTTCTGAGATCGGAATTTGGGTATAAAAGCTCTCCCCTGAGTATTGTATTCTTCGTCGTTGTCCTACGATCCTCTCCCAGTAAGCTTAACCAGGTCCAAACTAGTAACTCTCATGTGTTTGTTGCTACATGTAACCCCACTCCATTTGCAGAGAGGGAATGAGTTATTCCATGATAAGGAGAGGATGACTCTTTTTTCATCAGAAACTCGAGACTTAAACTCGACCAATGCTTGCCTATCAGTTTCATGTGTAAACTCATATGTTTCAAGAAGCATGAGAGCATTGAAAGTGAGTAAAAGAAACAGTCTCATGCTTGTCATTTAGAAAAGAAAAGAAAACGAAAATTTTAAAATGTTTTGGTTTTTCTCATGTTTTGCAAGATGCATTTAAAGAAAAAATAAGGATGGACTCTTGCTATCTAAGTCTAGTCAACCGTCTAAAAAGACGGAATCGTCTTTATGATTTTCAATAAACATCATGTGGTGCCTGGATAATGTTTAGACACATAAAAAAGAAGTTTATCTCTTAAATTTACTTTATTAACGTTAACACTAGAATAGATGGAACAATGCAATAACCAAAACACCATGTAAGTGTGTAAGTCAGCCTAATCAACCATATAAATATACACAAAACAAGGTTGCAGCATTAATATAGGCTCAAGAAACATGAAGATACTCTTTACAGGTCCATTGCAAATAAAACAGACAATGTTCACTACCGAACATGTTTCTTTAATGCAAGCCAACCAAGAAAGACTCAGCAAGTTTATCCAACCATGAGTTGTTTAAAAAAAGACAGATTACGATACAAACTTGGTGTAGATGTTCCCCTACACCAAGTTTAAGAGGGGATAATAGTGCAAAGCCTCCATCTCCATCAGAAGGTCTTCAAAACGACACAACAACAAAGGAGAGAAAACATTATGTGGGCCAACCGAGTTCCAGGCCCAACGTTTGTAAGAAGGCTTGCAAGCCCAACACTCAAATGCAGAAACCTGCAACGGCTAATTCACAAGAAGACAAGGAAAACAGAGGAGGTACGGTACAGAGCATTAAGGCAAAAGGAAAGATGTCGGGAGACTCTGGCACAGAAAAGCAGCAGCACCAGTTCAAGCTGTACAATCCATTCTCAGCCCTCGATCGTGAAGAGACAGCCTGATCTTGCCACCTGTTCTAGTGTGCTAGGATTTTACTCATTGTATAAATTCATTTCCTTTGTCATTGTAAGAACTTAAGAAGTTTAATGAAAAACAAAACTTAAAACCTCTTCCTTTTCAAATACCAGAAGAATGTCTTCTCCTAGCAACTGGTTCATCAATCAATTCTTTATTTGGAATAAATTAGCCTCATAAATAAATAAAATAAAATTAAGGTTGAGAAAACTTATCTTGATCATTTAAATGAGCATTTATAAAGCAACAAACACTGAAAATAAAGCATAATAATTGAAAAAAAATCAGAACTCTGCATTAAGAAAATTGAGAAATGTCAAACAAAACAGAGGATTAAAAGGGAACACTGAAGATTAGCAATTATAAAGCTGGTAACAGAACATTCATATATTGTCTACAAATAACAACCACTCATTAACAATATTCTGCAAAACAGTCGCCGTTTATACATTGGACTGTCTCTAATTCAGTTAATGAGTGTTAACGTGATGATTGCGATTGTTTCTCAATAAAAATGAGTGGTAACATGTTACTAGAAAATAATTTAAGCATGAGATCGTTTCTTTGACATTGGACTGTCTCCAATTCACCACACCCTTGTTGAAAAAATACAGAACATGAAAGCTCTGTTTTTTATTTTTCAGGTTTCACTGAAACAAAAACATAAATTATTTAATACTTTTCCTTTTAAAACTTTTCTTGTTCTTCTAGATCAAAAAAATAAACCTCATATTGATCACTAAAGAAAAACAAAAGCATAAACACTGAAAAAAAAAATTGCATTATTAAAACTGAGAGAATCCAAATAAAATTGGGAATTAAAAGGAAACATTGAGGAGATGGTAACACAACATTAAGATTTTGTCTACAGATAACATAGCATTCATTTAACAATATTCTGCAAGCATAAGTATATGTATTAATAGAGAAAGAAAACAACTCATTATGAAAGACGATTGTACTGTATTATATAGGCCTCAGATTGAGCCTTTAAAGTGGGTTGCAAAGTTTTTAGAGAAAACCATACACACTTCAACGTCTGGCTATTCTTCTGGTTTTAAAGAACCTCTCTCTGATTGAGATCAACTCTTTGGCGACTTCACTCGTTGCCAATCGGTTCGTCGGAGATTCATCACAACACCTGAGTCCAACATCCAAAACCAGTGTCAAGCACTCAGAAAGAGGGAAACCAACTCTGAGACCACCACTGTGAAGAATCGATTCATCTGCAATGTCCAATACTCGCTCTGGTAGTGCCAACTTGGTGTAGTTGTGTAATGTAAAGTCTCCCCCAAATAACTCATTCGTTGGTCTTTTTCCAGTGAACATTTCCAATAAGAGAACACCGAAGCTATACACATCACCATGTATTGATGGCTGTCCTCCCATTCCATATTCTGCACCATAATTTAAATTAAAAAATCGTAGTAGTAAAAGTATACACTAATTTTCTTCATTCAAACATTTTATAATTGTGTGATATAGTGTTTTACCTGGTGCTGCATACCCGATGGTTCCTCTTACGACAGAGCTGAGTTGGTTAAGGAAGGAGTCCTGGTCGAATTTTAGGAGGAGCTGAGCCAGACCAAAGTCGCTAACATGGGCAGTAAAATCATCGTCTAGAAGGACGTTGCTTGGTTTGAGATCGATTCATGACAGTGAACATGAAAATATTCCAAAACAGAAGCCACGTCTATGGTAATGTTGAGTCTTTCCAAAAGAGTAAGGGTTCTTGAGGGTCTGTGAATCTCTTCGACTTCCTCTGGATGCAACCACGTGTCCAAGCTTCCATTTGGCATGAACTCGTAAACTAGAGCTCTAAAATCATTTCCTTCATAATCAGCACTAGAACAGACAGTAACCAACTTCACAAGGTTGCGATGCCTTATGCCTCCTAATGCTTCACATTCTGCTATGAAGCTTTCTGCAGCTCCACGTTTGCCGAGATTTAAAACTTTAATGGCAACAGCCTTGTTTTCGGAACCAAGAAATCCTTTAAATACAGCCCCAAAGTTACCTGATCCAATCAAATTGCTGGAAGAGAAGCCACCAGTTGTTCTGTAGAGCTCATTATAACTTATCTTCTCATAAAACGTCTTCATTGGCTGATCACTCTTATACTCTTCATTCTCTGTTTGTACCGGCATAGAAAAACCAAAGACAGAAATAACAGCAAAAGTGCTGCAATACCTGCACTGACACAGATAACCACTATCTTTCGGACTGATGAATGCTTTCTTGATGTTTCTATTGAACATGGCAAAAGCCGTAATGACGCGATGCCTCCACAGAGGTTTATGTTACCAATGATCGACATTGCACTGGTATTGCGAAATATCCCTTCTGTTGGCACAGCTCCTTCGAAGTTGTTCATAGAGAGATTCAGATACTCCAGCTTGGAAAATTTCACCATGTATTCCGGTATCGGACCTGAGAGATTGTTCTTAGACAGATCTAGGAACCTGAGGCCAGTCAACCCTCTTACATCCGGGATGGGCCCAACAAATGAATTTCCTTGCAGCCCAAGAAATTCTAGTGAGAGACAGTTCGCCAAGGTCCGTGGAATCGGTCCTGATAGTTTATTGTAACCAACGTAGAGACCAGTTAGAAATATAAGCTTTCCAACGTCTTCTCCCAAAGGACCAACCAACGAATTAAATGCGACACTTAAAATGACAAGAGATGGAATTTCCATAATCTCATGGGGTATGCTGCCATTTAACTTATTATTATGGAGGTATAGGTGTAGAAGGTCCCTACAATTTCCAAGACTTGAAGGGATGCTTCCTTCAAAACTGTTCTTGTGCAAATAGAGGAGTATTAGCCTAGTGATATTGCCCAAGGAAGATGGTATCTCTCCAGACAATCCATTTGAATAGAGATATATTTTTCGCAACTCAGAAAGGTCTCCCAACGAGGGAGGAAGTTTGCCTGTCAACAGATTTCCATTCAAGTCTAATATTTGAAGGTTTATGAGATTCCGTATGCCATGAGGAATACTTCCAGAGATGAGATTTTCGTCAAGGGAGAGCTCAGTTAGTTGAGTGGAGAGATTGGCTATAGAGACAGGTAACTGACCTCCGAGATTGTTGATGCCAACGTCTAGGTGCTGCAACTGAGTGCAGTTAGCCAATGCCCCAAGAAAATCAAGACCATCAGAAGAGTAGTTTCCCAGAGAGTTTTTGAAAAGGCTTAACCATAATAAATTCCGAAGTTTCCCGAAACTCGATGGTATATTTCCAGTAAGATGGTTAGTTGAAATATCAAGATGTGTAAGAGTTGAGATATTGGAAAGTGTCTCTGGAATGGTACCCGTGAAATTATTTATATCCATATATAGTATTTGAAGGTTAGGGAGAAGAGAACCAAAGTCAGGTCTAAGGGTGCCTGAGAAACTGTTGCCGACTATGGACAGCGTGGTTAACGAGGACAGGTTGTAAATTGGAAGAGGGAAAACACCTGTGAACTTGTTTACTGCTATTCGGAAAAAGTACATCTGCTTCAGTCGGGCTATACTCCCAGGGATCTCTCCTTCCATTTGGTTATCATAAAAGTCGAGCTTCTTGAGTGATGTCAGGTTTCCAAACAAAGCAGGGAACTTCCCTGTTAGATTGTTTTTTATAAAAGATAGAATGACAAGCTTAGAAAGCAAACCCAACTCAGAAGGCACGCCTTGTTCAAGATCATTTCTTGATAAATCAAGGATTGAAAGGCTAGAGCAATTAGAGAGAACAACCGGAATCGCCCCTCCAAGAAGATTATCGCTCATGTTCAAATATCGAAGCCTGGACAAGTTTCCAACCTCTAAAGGGATGGCACCACGGAAATAGTTGCTAGAAAGATTCAATGATCTAAGAAATGAGAGGTTACCCACAAAGGAAGAGACAATACCGGTAAGTTTCAGCCCTCCAAGGTTCAAACCGGTCACTCTTTTGTGTTTGGCGCCGCACTTAACTCCAGTCCACCTACAGAGAGGCAGAGTGTTGTTCCACGAGTCTAACACAGCTCTACTTGTTTCAGAGAGTTGAGACTTGAACTCGAGCAATGCTTGTTTATCTGTCTCCTCCGTCAATCTCATTGTTTGAGCACAGACCACATCTGAATTTTCAAGGGACACGATGAAGAGGAAAACAGATACCAGAATCAATCTCACGGCAACAAAAGGCAAAGCCATGGAGAGCAAAAAGCTTTTTTTTCTTTTCTCTTTTTTTTGTTTTTCCTTTTTTTCTTAAACACACCAGAGATAATTCCTCTTTCTTTCACAACCACGATGACAGTTTATATATATTTGAGCAAACAGAGATCTTTCGCCTCTGAATATTCAATATTTTGTGCATACAAGCTTACAAGAACTGGACAAATAGAGTAAGTAAATTCCAAAACTAAGAGACTTCGTAACAGAGTATCAGTCCTCATTGACTACTGCTTTCCCAAGTCAACTGTCAAGCATTATCACATAATATAACTAACTAGAGATTATTCAAATTCAATTACTTTAAAAACTTCTTCCATCACTATTAAAAAATAGCCATGGAATGTTTGTTAAAATCCTTAGAAGTGACCATGACATCAACGGTTTCAAATTACACCAAATTGCTTCTACATTTTTTTCAAGCACACTACTATCAAAACAATACCATAAAATTAGTTTTAAATTAGACAAGTCTTTAAGGTTCAAAAAAAAAAAAAATGACAAGTCTTCACTCTTTACCATACCTAGCAGAAGATCCCTTATATAATCCAGTAACTTATACAAATAACCTTTGTTCAATATTTTTCAAAGATTTTTTTCAATAATACAAATAGTCTACATGATTGAATTAAAACATCAAAAGAAAATGCAGTATACCTCTTTGATTTGCTTTGGACAGAAGCACCAAGCGTTGCATCTTGTGTTCTAGATTGCTGGTCAAACGAATCATCAAGCGGTCCTGATATTTCTGTTCCCTCCTATCAGAAACATATCTTGTGGCTCTCATTCTTCATATAGCCACACAATGCCATGCCTTTGTTCCAAACTGAAATCAAAAAGCTTACATTGCAGACCAATAAAGGTACGCTTGTTGTTTCACAAATAGAGATGCAGCCAATCTGCAGTCCATGATCTCCTTCAAGCCTGAGCTAGTCTCTGTCATTGAAAAGGAAATGAAAAAAAAAACAAGCAATCTTCATTCGAGATATTACTTTAAGGAACCAAAACTTGTGACTGAAAGCAACCAATCAACAGAAAGGGGCGGTGATAATATATTGCAAAGCTTCATTTGCAATTTCTCATCAGCGAGTGGTCTCTTCTCATCTAAGAAGAGCATCTGCAAAACATCAGTTGGTCTATATGATCTTCAAGCACCTAGCAATAGAGTTCCTTAAAACGATAATGAAACTAATTAGAGCTATTACAACTGCAGTTTCATATTTATGAACCAAAGAAAGTAGATGAATGGATCTTGTAAACAAAAGAGAGAATAAATTCTTCGTGAAGTTGAGCCATTATTAAAAGCATTGGTTTGAGGGGCGAGATCACACCATCAACAGAATATCGTTTGGTTAGAGATCACCATGAGCTTATTGGTAAAACAGTTGTTATGAAGATAGACATAAACTCATTTGCTAGACCTCTGAAGTTAAACCCCAAAAAATAGTGTTGTTATTCTTGTTTCAAATAGACATTTCTTGTGGATTGAGCTGTATTTTGTGTTTGGAAATGATACTTGTAAAAGAGAAAGAGAGAACCTTGAAACATTGTTTCTTTCATTTCATTTTCTTGGTCAAAAAACTTACACATTCTCTTGTCCTTACATCGACATATATCAAGAAAACAGAGTCATCATACTCTGACCTCAACAACTACAACTATTCATCACCAACTAATCTAGACTCTTATACATGACTTAAGTCTCACTCATTGTCGTTTACTGTTTCAACAACTCACCTTAACCAAATTTCTTCTAGTTTGGTTTGAAACCAAAATGGCATTACACAACAAATAGTTTGGTTTATACAAAGGTTTCTATGCCATATGCAGGCTTCACATTTTGACATAAGCATCTGGCAGCTCCATGTATCCGAAATAGTAGAACTTCAAAAGCAACAGTTCCTAGGATGTGGAATGCCTAAATGTTCGCTGTCTTTTCTAACCATATATCCAGGTATGTGATGATGAGAGAGATGTTAGAGATGCAGACTCAATCTACTTCCATTATGAAAGCTGGAGAGGGAAATAGATGCACAACATTTGTAGTTCTAAAAGTAAAATAGATATTCATCATACGTGAAGATTATTATTATATTATTTTACGAATTTAGACGTTGCTAATGTAGTCTCAAAATCAGGAAAACGGTACAATATTCAAAGATACAAAATATTCACAAGATCACTCGCAAATTCATACAAACAGAGACCTGTGTATTGAACAAATATTACATGCTCCCCATATTATTGATGTATATACATGTGTGTGTGTGTGTGCGCGCGTTTCTAAAGTATTGTTTAAGATCAATTAATGACTGTATATGCGTACCTATACCCAATCTCTTACTGTAAAAAGATAGATTCTTTGTCATCTAAAGGGTTTTCTCGTCTTCAAAAAACGTGTCTCTGACAGAGACTAGCTTGCTTAAGGCCTCAGCCATCGATATACGGTTCACCGGTGATTCTTCTGAACACCTGATTCCCACCTGATACACAAGCTGGGTCAAGCATTCCACCTTTTCGACCCCGAGAACCTGATTTTCTGCACCACAGAGAATAGACTCGTCTGTGATATCTAGTGGCATTTGTTCCTGCAATGCTGATTTAGTAAATCCATGGAGAGTTAAACCATCCACGAATAACTTATCAGTGGGCCTTTTTCCTGTGAAAATTTCCAACAGGAGGATTCCAAAGCTGTACACATCTCCCACTATCGATGGATGACCTCCCATTCCGTATTCTACAAAATACAATAATAAAGACAATGAGATCAAATGATAGTATATTGTCTTCTTTATGCGTATATAAATATTTGGTAACGGTTTCATATAAGATTACCATACCTGGTGCAGCATATCCGATGGTTCCACGAACACCCGCAGAGCTGAACTGAATATGAAATGATTCCCGGTCGAATTTCAGGAGGAGTCGAGCCAAACCAAAGTCACTTACACGAGCAGTGAAATCTTCGTCTAGAAGAATATTGCTTGGCTTAAGATCACAGTGGGCTATAGGATTGTGACAATAAGTATGAAGATAAACCAGAGCCGAAGCAACATCTATTGCAATGTTGAGTCTTTCAAAAAGGGTCAGGGTTCTTGACCGGTTGTCCATTTCATCTACCTCATCTCGGTGCAGCCACATGTCTAAGTTTCCGTTAGGCATGAACTCGTAAACTAGAGCTCTAAAATCATTTCCTTCAAAATCCACACTCGAACAGACAGTAACCAACTTCACAAGGTTGCGATGCCTTATGCCTCTTAATGCTTCACATTCTGCCACGAAGCTCTTTGCAGCTCCACGTTTGCAGAGATTCAAAACTTTAATGGCAACAGCCTTCTTCTTGGACAAAAGAAATCCCTTAAACACAGCCCCAAAGTTACCTGACCCAATCAAATTGCTGGAAGAGAAGCCATCAGTTGTCTTGTAGAGCTCACGATAACTTATCTTTTCATTATAGAAAAACTTCAAGGGAGAGAAAGACCGACCATTCTCATTATCTTTATCCCTTACACTTTTTCTCTGTTTGAACCAATATATAGAAACCACAGAAAGAATTAACAGAAGTGCTACCATACCTGCACTGACACAGATAGCGATAATCTTTCTAACTGATGAATGCCGTCCTGGTAATTCAACAGAACATGGCTCAAGCTGTAATGACGCTATGCCTCCACAGAGGTTTATGTTACCAGTGACTGACACTGCACTGGCATTACGAAATATCCCTTCTGTTGGCACAGCTCCTTCGAAGTTGTTCATAGAGAGATTCAGATTCTGCAGCTTAGAAAACTTCGCTAAATATTCAGGTATCGGACCTGAGAGATTGTTCTTAGACAGATCTAGGAACCTGAGGCCAGTCAATCGTCTTATATCCGGAATGGGCCTGACAAATGAATTTCCTTGCAGCCAAAGGAATTCTAGTGAGAGACAGTTCACCAAAGACCGTGGAATCTGTCCTGATAGTTTATTGTACGAAACGTCTAGAGCAAGCAGAAATTTAAGCTTTCCAACATCTTCTCTCAAAGGACCGACCAATGAATTAAATGAGACATTTAAGATGACAAGAGATGGAAGTTCCATAAGCTCATGAGGTATGATGCCATTCAACTTATTAGTCCCGAGGTTCAGGTCTAGAAGGTACTTGCAACTTCCAAGACTTGAAGGAATGCTTCCTTCAAAACTGTTGTTCAGCAAATAGAGGTATGTGAGCCAAGTGATATTTCCCAAGGAAGATGGTATCTCTCCAGACAGTTTATTTGAATAGAGCAAGACTTTTCTCAGTTCAGAAAGTTCTCCCAACGATGGAGGAAGTATGCCTGTCAATAGATTTCCACCTAAGTCTAATGTTTGCAGGCGTACGAGATTCTGTATGTCATGAGGAATACTTCCAGAGATGAGATTTCCGCCAAGGGAGAGCTCAGTTAAATGAGTGGAGAGATTGGCTATGGACACAGGTAACTGACCTCTAAGTTTGTTGAAGCCAACATTCAGGTACTGCAACTGAGTGCAGTTAGCCAGTGCACCAAGAAAATCAAGATCACCAGAAGAGTAGTTTCCCAGAGAGTTATTATTAAGGCCTAACCTTAATAAATTCTGAAGTTTCCCGAAACTCGATGGTATATTTCCAGTAAGATGGTTAGATGGAATATCAAGATGTCTAAGAGTTGAGATATTGGAAAGTGTCTCTGGAATGGTACCCGTGAAATTATTTATCCCCATATATAGTATCTGAAGGTTAGGGAGAAGAGAACCAAAGTCAGATCTAAGGGTGCCTGAGAAACTATTGCTGGTTATGGACAGGAACATAAGTGAGGACAGGTTGTATATTGGAAGAGGGAAAACACCTGTAAACTTGTTTAATGCTATTCGGAAAAAGACCATCTGCTTCAGTCTGGCTATACTCCCAGGGATCTCTCCTTCGATTTGATTATATATAACATCAAGCATCTGGAGTGATGTCAAGTTTCCCAATGAGGCAGGGAATTTCCCTGTTAGATTGTTTCTACCAAGAGATAGAACGACAAGCTTAGAAAGCAAACCGAACTCAGAAGGCACGCCTTGTTCAAGATTATTAGATGATAAATCAAGGGATGCAAGGCTAGAGCAGTTAGAAAGAACAACCGGAATAGCCCCTCCAAGGAAATTATTGCTCATGTTCAGATTTTGAAGCCTGAACAAATTTCCAACCTCTAAAGGGATGGCACCACGGAAAAAGTTGTCTGCAAGATTCAATATCCTAAGAAATGAGAGGTTACCGATAAAGGGGGAGACAATACCAGTAAGTTTCAGCCCTCCAAGGTCCAGACCAGTCACTCTTTTGTGTTTGGCGCCGCACATAACTCCAGTCCACCTACAGAAAGGAAGGGAGCCATTCCACGAGTCTAACACCACTCTGCTTCTTTCAGAAATCTGAGACTTGAACTCGAGCAATGCTTGTTTATCAGTATCCTCCGTCAATCTGATTGTTTGAGCACCTACCACATCTGGATTTTCAAGTGGCACAATGACAAAGAAAGCAAATACAAGAATCAGTCTCATGACCATACATGGAAAATCCATGTGGAGTATAAGCGATTGTTCTTTTTCTGAGACAATGCTTCTTTCACAACCAGGATGATCGTTTATTGAGATTATGAGAGAATAAAAATCTCTAGTCTATGGATCCCTATGATAATGAAATAATGAGAAATATATAGCATATAACTTTCAGAAACAGGCAGATAAAGTGAGGATTCCACTTACAGCCTGGGGTACACAGATTATTTTAAAACCTCATTGACTTTGACCCTCAAAGTCAAATAGAGCGATGACTTAATCTCGCGTTTGCCTCAATTTATTGATTAACTGCTTCATTTCGTCCAAGTCAACTATCAGGCAATGATTAATTAACACCAATAACAACGACCAATATTATAAAAATGTAGCCGATGAAAGTTTGTCAAGTTTTTAGCAGTGACCATAACATCAATGACTTTGATCTACACCAAATTGTATCTACTGTTTTCAGCTAACTACAATAAAAAAAGTAGCATAATTACAGTTTAATTCAAAAACATCTTAATCACAGCTAGAAGAAGACTTTGAATATCACTATATAATACAGAAATTTATAGTCAGTTCTTTAAAGACCAAGTCAATAGGAATTACAATGAAAATGCAGTTACCTCTTAAATTATTTTATGACAGGAACAGCGACGCTTGCATAAATCCATATGTTACAGAATCACTCCCTGTAGAAGACCTGAGTCTCTAAACATAGGTCACTACGACTACTATCAACAGAAAAGTATACATAAGATAGCAAAATGTAAGTGAACCATAAAACGATAGGATATAACGACTTCTTTCATTCCAAGCAGTAAATTCAACAACTCTCGGTATAACGACAAACATAGAATGACAGTTACGAAATGAAGCAGTTTATATAACCCAGGGATTAACTCTCTTACGAAGAACAACAAATCTCAATCCCACAGATTCTAGCTACAACTGAAAACCACTGAATATGCATACCACTATCTATCCCTTTAGCGACGGCGAGATTCTCTTCTTGAAGAATCCCTATCTTGCCTCGGTGATGTTTCTGATTGCCTACTTGAACCTTCTCCTTCCCTGTCGCTATGATCTCGTCTAGATCTTTCCTTCAATTTCTCCCTATCATTTGTTCTGGATCTCTTGTCCTCCCTTACATAATCATTGTCGGCATTGTGTCTTCTAGACTGCGAATCGTCAACACGTCCTGGTCTCTTTTGTTCCCTCCTGTCATAAGAATCTCTTGACCTTGGCTCTCTTTCCTCCCTTTCCACTCTTTCTCTTTCTCTAGGTTGGCCATATGAGGCATCTCCATGACCCTTTCCTCTGTAACTCTTCTCTTCCGCCTCGGGTTTGAAATCTACTCGATAGCCAATACTCGTACCACCCTTTTTAGCACCATTAAACTTGTCATGATCCCACTTGGAACTTCTATCCTCTTCATGACCCCAACCAGTATTTGCAGCTCTCTGTCCATAAGAAAAGAGAGAAAGAAAATAAATGCGAAGAACAGACCGAGTCACATCAATGAGCACGTTTCCTCCTATCAAGTATCTATTCAATAGCATATAAAAACTTAGCTCTCCTAAAAGCATAGTGTCTAAAGGAGATTGTCTCACTTACTTTCTCATCGTGGGAAAATTTGCAAGAATCTCCACGAGTACACTCTCCTTTCTGAAAAGCTCTGCATACACCACGTGCCTCTCTCTTCTGCCGTTGCGTCTCTTCATCCTCCTCTTCTAGCTTTTTGTAACCGCTACAATGGTCCACCCTAATAGTCCGCCCCAACACCTGAGCTCCATTCAGATTATCTGCAGTTCAAAAACCATAATTTAAGCAAACCGCAACACCTCAAGAACCAATGTGAGATAGAGAGAGAGAGAGAGAGAGAGAGAGAGAGAGAGAAAGAGTGTGTTTTTGACTAACCAACAGCGAGCGTTGTACTTCTTTGATCTTCATATGCAAGAAACGCAAATCCCTTGGATTTCCCAGTACCCTTGTCTCGGATAAGATTGACATCAACAACTTCACCATATCTACAAAGCCCACAAGGTACATAAGAAAAACTAAAGCTTATAAAAACCCAATTTCTAGGAAGAGGAATTTCGGAGAACTACTGAATCGGGTCTATAGAAAATTCACTTACTGTGCGAAAACGGCGAGGAGATCACCCTCGGTGAGATCGTAAGCTATGCCACCGACGAAGACGTAAGCAGAATCTTTGTACTTGGCGTGCCACGACGCCTCATCAGAGATCCCTAAATCTGATTCCTTAGCGTTTATACTCTGTATCCGCTTCACCAGCGTCAATGGATTCATCTTTTCGAATCTCTCTGCGTTCACTGTCGAGAGAGAAGGAACCCTAAGCAAATTTAGAACGGAAACGGATTCTTCGCACGGGACGAGATCGAGAGAGAGATTCTGAGCGGGTCGGGTTTCTCTAATGACCCGAGATCTTAAATGGTTCAATCTAACCAACCGACCCGGTCTGTGGCCCAATTATTTATCTGGGCCGACCGGAACGTATTGCGTTATGAATCTTCTTGCTCAAGCAACTATATAATTAGGTTAAAAGTTAGGGTTTCACTAGAGACACAGAAGCTGCTGTCCGAATCCAGAACCGATGACATCGATCTACATTCCTCTCGATCTCCAGATCAACACACTTTTAAGATTGCCAGTGAAGTCTCTATTGAGATTTCGTTGCGTTTCCAAGCTTTGGTCATCAATCATCACTAGCCGAGATTTCAGGAACAAGCACTTGAATATTGCTTCCTCCTCAGCTCCTCCTCGTCTCATCTTTGCTTTTGCGGACTTTTACGGAGAAAAGGTTCTGGTAGTCTCGTCAGCTAACCCAAATAACCCAAATGATCTGAGCCTAGTCAGAAACATTAAAGGGAAAATGGTGTATAATGCTTGTCGGGGCTTGATCTGCGTTGGAACCGGTTTCAAAGATGTGGGGATTTATAACCACAGCACAAGGAAGCTACATAATTTCCCACAATTCAAATTCAAAAAAAGTCCAGAAGTGTTCCCACGCCCCAATTACATGTTAGGGTATGATCCTGTTGAAGATCAATACAAAGTGCTTGCCGTTGATGCTTTTTCTGATCAGAGATTGGAGCACAAGGTTGTGACATTGGGAGGAGAAGAAGCTTGGAGAGAGGCTCAGTGTGTCGCCTGTCCACATAGGGCTTGTACCTTGGGGCTGTATATGAAAGGAACCGTTTACTACGGGGCTTTCAAGACGAACATGGATTTCCCGAACATTAGTTCTATAATGGTGAGTTTCGATGTTAGGCTTGAAACGTTCAACATCATCAAAGTACCAAGCAGACTTTTACAATTAATGGGTTATGTCAATATTTTGGATCCTAATATATGGGAGGGTAAAACTCTGATCAACTACAGAGGGAAAATTGGAGTAGTTGAGAATCCTCGTTTTAAGGGTAGTTTTAGAATGTGGGTTTTGGAAGATGCTGAGAAAGAGGAATGGTCCATTCACACTTTTCATCTCCCTGAATCTGCTGCTGGCCTTGGCTTCATGGTCATTGATACCTTTTCTAACTGTGAGATTGGTCTGGTTCCATGCCAGTTGTCTGATCCGTTTTGTCTTTACTATTACAATTTGGACAAGAAAAGCATGAGAAGTGTCAGAATTGAAGGATTGCCTGTTTCCGAGCTTAAGCGAGCCCAAACAATTTCTGTGACTGTTTCGGATCATTATGAGAGCCTCATGTTTTTAGAATCTTGAAGTTAAATTTGGGTCTTCTTCTGTTTGTCTCCTTGTTGCCTGCTTCTCTTCCCGAATTGGTTCAGCTAAACAGGATTAGTTAAAACCGAACATAACTAAACCAATTCTACCGGTAATGTAACCGGTTAGATGATCACATGTCAACTCGGATACGTGGTATGGGTTACGAAGCCTTGTTCCAGGAGAGTTGAAATATCTTCTAAAAGGATCTGTCATGTCTTTTTGAATTGACTCGAATTGAGTTTTTATTTAAATTCCTGGAATACTAAATGTAATAATAATCCATGATGATCTAGAAGACTACGATCATTTTTGTTAAGTCATATATAATTTTAAAAGATTAGTACGTACTCTCAAATCAAAGATTAATTTTCATTAAACTCTTTTTCCCATAAGTTACTTTCGATCTTACGTAAGAGACGTGACATTACTATAGCCTAAGTTTAGCGTTGAGTTTTAGAATCGTCATCCAAAATAGAATTTAGCAAACATTATGTGCATAACCATTTCCGTCATAACTTAAGAGCCAATTCTCTGTATCCTGTGTAAGTTTAAGGAGATATTTTTAGTTGAGAAGAGAACAGAGTGTAGATTAGTAGCGAGTAAAAGCCACTTCTTGATAAAGTAGAGGTTTCGTGATTGTACAATAGAAATAAAGAGTTTGGGAACCAAAAACCAAATGCACATTGAAAAAAACACAAAAGCAAGTAGAAATGGACTTCCCCCGAGAAATGGTTACTATATATATATATTACTTACTACTAATCTAAAGCATTATATACATTCAGATAAAGTTAATTAGAACCGGTTTCGGCTTTTTATAAAAGCTCTTCTTCTTCTTCCTTCACTTGACATGGCAATCATAAGGAGAAGAAGCAAACACTTGATCTGGAACCACTAAAGGTAGCTTCTCTATGTACACAAACAGCCTTTTCTTATTCTCCCTCTCGACTGTATAGAGACTTACCGTATCTGATTTCTCCATCAACATCCACAAGTCTCCTGAGTTTACTCTCTTTAGACTGTCCCGGCAAAAAGGGCATGACTCTGACCTCCCATGCCTGCAAGAAAACATCGAGATTATGCGCAGAAAAAAAAAACAAAATGCAGAAGAAGATATCTGTAAATAATCTGACTTACCAATCACGGTAACACTTGATGCATAAAGAATGTGTACAATTGGGGAGAACAACCATGTTGTTCATCTCCATACAAATCCCACATTCTTCGTCTCTCTCGATGTCAATCTCTGAAAGCTTGACCCTCTCGATCTCATCTTTGTTTCTGTACCGTATTTTGCAGACCTCTTTCTGTTTGCGGTCATCCAGGTCTGTAATACCCCTTTCTAGTTGTAACAGCGATGGAAATATCACAGCTGTTTCACAAAAGCCATCAAAGATATCAATTAACTTGTTACCAAAACACTTGAAGCTGAGCCAAAATTCAACCTAAAAACATTACCATAGAAATCTTTAATACTGGTTTTTCTCTCGTAAACCGACATTGTGGTTTTCCCATCTGCATATGTCTGATGCAGTTCAAAGGATTTTAATCAGACAACCACAAGAAAACAATCTAGAGAAAACGGCAAGTGAGTTCATCTTTAAACAATGTACCATGTAAATAAGAACTCTGAGCAAACCGAGGGCACCGGCAAGGTGGCAATCAGTCCATTGAACAAGAAAAAGCAAAAACTGAGCAGCCGGGTTGTAAGATAGTCTCATTTGCACACGCGCTCCATCCTTCTCCCGAGGATAATCTAGAGCTCTGTTTAGTCATTGAGGAATAAGAAAATAGCAACATTGTTCATTTAAGGGCCATAACAACATTACTTGATGAAAATCACACACGTAACGTAACAAACTCTCCGTTCAAGTATTGATCGGATTAAAACAACAGTCATATGTGACAAACATTAAAAACATAACCGATTGATCAATGTACTCATCCAAACATTCACACGATTCAGACATAGAGCTGTCTATCTCAGCTAAACCAGCCTCTGATGTGTACAATAGAAAAAGTTGCAGCTTCAACATTGCAACACACTAAAACCACTCAAACACATTTTCAGCTCAAACTTTGATTCAGCACAAACATCAAGCATCCTCGGATGTTACAAGTTGCTTTAAAATTTGCAGCAGAACCAATTGATCAAAGAAACTAACCAAAACATTCACCTTTTAGACATGGAACTGTCTAACTCAGCTAGATTACCATTAGGAATCAAATGAAATAGCAACACAATAAAATTATTTGATCATTGCAGACAAACACAATTTCCTCTCAGACACAAACATCAAAAGCCAAAGACTTTGTTCAACTTCGAGGGTCAACACTAAAGACAAGACTCCACAAGAATGACTTCGCTACCCAGTTCGTTGGAGTACATCGTTTACATGGGTTTTAACTTTTCCTTGGTCCTTATTATACCTTAACTGTTTTGGGGCCAAATTAAACCCTAATTTGATGACAAAAACAATCCATACAATTTCCGAACTCTTCTATATAGAATCTATAAACCAGAAAATTAGTTATTTCAGAAAATGGTCCAAAATAAAATAAAAGAAACTGAACCACAAAGCTCACCAAAAGAAAATCCTCCACCCAGAAAAAAAAAAAAAATCGAAACTTTGGATTAGGAAAGCAGATAAATTCCAAAAACTCAAAAGGGAACTAAAAAGGCAAAAATTGAGAGGCTTACACAGTGTTAGCGTGTTGGATATCAGCTTCGAGAGCTTTCAAAGAATCCTTGAAAGAAATTCTTGCCATGGAACTTCAATTTCCAGGAAAAACAATTCTCATTAAACGACAGGAGAATTTTTCAGCAAACGAGGAGAGAATCAAAAGTATCAAGCTAGAAGAGAAAGAAGAGAGAAGCAAGGAAAAGTTTGATGCTTTTTGCTTTAGCAAATTTAGAAGAGAAAGATATTTACACCCAAATCCGATGATCAAAAATATTTCACAGAAGAGAAGACAAGATGGTATTTTGGTAATTTGCGTTTCTAGATAAACCTCTTAATCGCTTTCGGTTACGATTCTCGAAGTAGCTTTATCAAGAAAAGACGCGGAGTGGGTTTGGAGATTGTCCGTTTTGCCCTTGTTCGGCTATGAAAGTGATACAAAAATCTAAAAGTTTTTCAATTGAAGGGAGTGATCCTGTGTTTATGGCACACCTATACGTTTCGCCTGATGTGCAATAGGCTTTTGTCATGTGGAAGGATAAGGCTAAATATCTGCTGCTTATAATTAAAATAATCACTTGTCACGCCTTTAGTTAATGAAAAGTCAATACCACTTGTAGTTTATACTTTATAGTATAACAATAAATGCATTAGTATCAAACAGATTTGGCCGATTTGGATAAAGACAAAGAAACAAATTGATACTTAAAATTTTGATTATGGGCTAAGTTCTTAAAATTTTGATTATGGGCCCTCTTTTTTTAAAAAATAGTTTTAAGTTACTAATTATTTTTATCTAATTATAAACTTATCAAAATGTAGATTCTGAAAACTGTTAACAATAAATAATTTTTTTTTGGGAAGACATATGTTATTTCATAGAAGATCCAAATACTAAAGTCTATATTAGACTTAAACAATGTAATTTAGACATTATTTATCGCAGAATAAAGTGCTGGTTTTTATGGGTCTTTTTTTATAAAAAAAATTGTTTAAAATTATTAATTATTTTTATCTATTTATAGACTTTTCAAAATGTAGATTCTGAAAGTTGTTAACAATAATTAATCTTTTTTTAGGGCATATGTCAATTCATAGAAGACCCAAAAACTCGAGTCTATATTAGACTTAAACAATATAATTTAGCCATTATTTATCGTAAAATAAAGTACTCGTCCGAGTTGATCATCTCGTATTAACATTCAAAGACTAGACATAAAAACCACTAAAAATGGAGAAATAAAAGATGTTATTAATAATCAATTCTTGTATCGTCATTTATGTGAATTAAGTTAAAGTAAATGTTAGTGCATCCATAGAAATCTTAGCTACTTTCTACCCCTCTCTTGTTGCATTTGGTATAAACTTTCTTATTTGTCATATATCTTCCTCTACATGGCTTCTTTTCCTCTCACTTTAATGAACAACAAGATGATCTTGTTAACCTATTGTACTTCAGTTCCCTATTCTCAATGAGTAGTGAAAAATAGTGCACAACTAGTATACAAAATATTCAGAAACAAATTTGAAGAGCTGTAATTTTTCTTCTCGGCTGTCGAATATGGGGATTATTTCAGATGAGAATATCATACTCATCACCCGTATTTCTTGCCAGACATCTTCTTTATTTTTCTGATTACTCACATTTTTTGTCTTTCACTTTCTTTTCTATTTTTTTGTTTTGTGTTTTATTTCTATATGTAGTTTTAAACTGAAAAACATAGTCTCTTCTAGATATATATACTTAAAATAATAAATTATTCAGTTTCTTGCGTGGTGAATTGTTGAAGATTGAGAGTTTTAAGCAGAAGGTAAAGCAAGAGTAAGAAGTTGAATTCCGATTTTGAACTCAAAATTGTGCTCAAGCCTCTTGCTTCCTTGCAGGCATATGTTTTGAGCACGGCGTTTGTAATTCTGGATGAAATCTTACTTTCAGCCTCTCATAATTCGACTATCAAAAAGGATCATGCAGATATGGTTGAGAATCTCGACACCTTCTTGCATCTTACATTCTATTCTTTATTTTTTCATAATTATTGCAATTAAGGAATGCACTGAATAAGCAAAGTAGCTTCTATTGGACTGGTTTTTCAGGGTAGATAAGAGTGACATGGATTCTTTGTTGCAATAAGCAATGCCTAGCAATGTGAACTTCATTCTCAGGAGGGGGAGGATTGAACCACTTATTTAGTTTAGACAGTTACATACTTTCATAAACTGATACATTTTTAATATCTTCAGAAGTAATGTTCAGGATCTCGTGAACCATGTCTTCAATTGGTGGGCGGGGCGAAGAGCAAACCTTCTCCAACTGAACGAATTTGGGTCTTGGTAGTTTCTAAGTTGGCCTATATTCCCTTTTGCAATCATGAAGTTATTAACAAAAAAATTACATGAAATTTTATTTCTCTACCACTAACCCCTTACTATTATCATTTGTAATGTTTCAAATATTTTTTTTTTCCTTTAACCTTTTTTGCTTTGTCTAAAAGTTTTAGGCTAGAATCTTCTTAATTTTGCTATGGTGACGTCGTGGCGCTAAAATGAACGAATCAGTTTAATACAAAACCTTTAACAATAAGTATGTAACCTTAGCAAGATCCCACTTTATTGATCACAAGAAATGTCAGATGTATTGGTAAACAAAACCAGCTAGCTGAAGTAGAAGGTTCCGGTTTAGGAACTTGATCTGAACCAATGCAGAAATCAGGAGGTTTGATTTCGGTTTACTGCGGGTTCGATTAAAGTGCAAACGTCGTCGTTCTCAGTCGTCTTCTTGATGAGGAAAATATCTTCTCGAGCTCAGTCCAGACCATTAGCACGTGAGCTCAATTGCTGAATCAGTTAGAGGTTGTTAGATTCAGAAATTGGACTTGTATTAGTGTAATCGGTGAACGACGAGAGCTAGAGAGAGAGATTCAGTTGTATCCTAGAGAGAGAACAATTGTAATCGAGGGAAAACAGAAGAGAGATTTTCCGGTGAGTGAAATTGTTTCTCGGGGTTTTCCGGTGAGAGATAGAACGTTTGTACGGTGGTGCTTAGTGAATTCCGAGGAATCCTCGGCCAGACGTAGGGTAGCGGTTTAGCTTCCGAACTGGATAAATCTCTTGTGCCATTTACTTTCTGCAAATTCTTTATCTCGTGTTTAGTTATAGTCACAAGTAAAATCGATTGCGAGGATTGATCAGTGGTGAGATTTATAGAGTGAAATCGCAACAAGTGGTATCAGAGCCAGGTTCTCTAGGTCGTTGATCTCATTTCTGGAGTCGTCGAAGATTGTTCTTCTCTTTCGCGATGTCTTCCGCTAAAGTCGAGATCGAGAAGTTCAATGGAGTGATCGATTATAACATGTGGAAGGAGAGGCTATTTGCGAATCTGGATTTGCTCAGTTTGTAGAAGCATATCAGGCTCAAGAACAAGAGCTGTTGAAGCCTCAGGCGAAGATTGATCCTGGTAAAGGAAAGGATGAGGAAACTTCTATCAAGCAGAAAGAATCAGATCCAGAACTCGCAAAGAAGCAGCGTAAGGTTCGGAGCACAATCATCACAAGTGTCACAAATAAGGTCATAAGAAAGATCGTCAAGGAGGAAACAGTAGTTGGTATGTTAAAGATCCTTGATGCTCAGTATATGTCTCAGTCTCTTCCTAATAGGATGTATTTAAAGCAAAAACTATATAGCTTCAAGATGAATGAGTCCACGTCTATAGAAAACAACATCGATGAATTCTTGAGGATAATCACGGATCTAGGAAATGTCATGGTAGAGATTCTAGACGAAGATCAGGCCATCTTGCTCTTAATGTCTTTGCCTAAGCAATTTGATCAGCTGAGAGATACACTGATGTATTCTAAAGCATATATGACTCTTGATGGTGTTATTAGTTTCATTCATTCGAAACAACTTGAGTTGGCTAGTGGAAAGGTGGTAAAACCACAAGGAAAGGTGTTGTATTCAAATTCAAATATCAAAGGAAAGGCATCTAAGGACTCAAATACAAGTAAGGACTCAAAAAGCAAATCCAAGAAAAGCAAAGGCAAATGCGGTGCATATACTTGCTGCATTTGCGGTGGTGAGGGACATTTCAAGGAAGACTGTCCCAAGAAGACTGGACATCAGAACAAGAATAAAGGACAAGTGACAGGGGAATCATCTGCAGTAACCGAGATTCAGTTTATAGAATCTCTAATGGTGTCAGAAGTGAATGTGGTTGAGGCCTGCAACTTCAGGAAAATCTGGATCTTGGACACATGCTGCACTTTCCATATGACCCCGAGGAGAGACTGGTTTATTGAACTTGAGGAGTTCACTGCAGGATCTGTGAGGATGGCTAATGAAACCGTATCTACGGTTATGGGAATTGGAACCATACGTCTGAAGAATGCAGAAGGCATATATGTTTTGGTAAAGGAGGTCAGGTATGTGCCTGATTCCTCAAGGAACTTACTATCTCTGGGTTCGTTTGAAGAGCAGGGATGTATTTTCTCTTCAGAAAACGGTATCCTTCAGGTCAAGAAATCTGGCAGGACAGTCTTAACGGCAAAGAGAACACATAAGCTCTATTTCCTGCAGGGAAGTAGTCACGTTGGAGAAGTCCATTCGATGGCTATTAAAGATGATACTAACCTCTGGCATAGTAGGTTAGGACACATCAGTCATAAAGGCCTTGATATCATGGTGAAGAGAGGCTATCTACATAAGTCAAAGGTGTCAAGTATTCAGTTTTGTGAAAGCTGTGTATTTGGTAAAGCTCATCGGAAGAGCTACACTTCAGGTCAGCATACGAGCAAGAATGGTTTGGAATATGTTCATGCAGATCTGTGGGGGTATCCCTCAGTCCTTCAATCTCTCGGTAAGTGTCACTACTTCCTGAGTCTTATTGATGACTGGTTGAGAAAGGTGTGGGTTTATTTTCTAAGGACTAAAGATCAAGCATTTGAGAAATTCACGGAATGGAAGTCACTGGTGGAAAATCAGTCTGGTTTGAAAGTGAAGAAGCTTAGGACTGACAATGGACTGGAGTTCTGCAATAATGAGTTTGATAGTTTCTGCACAGAAAATGGTATATCGAGGCACATGACCATACCTCACACACCACAACAAAACAGTGTGGTAGAGAGGATAAATAGAACCATTCTTGAGCGTGTGAGGAGTGTATTATGTGAATCAGGTCTACCTAAAGTGTTTTGGGCAGAAGCTGTGAATACGGCTGTGTATTTGATAAACAGAACCCCTTCTTCAGCCATTCAGGGACGCATTCCAGAAGAGGTGTGGTCTAGGACTACTCCAAATTTTCAACACCTAAGGAAGTTCGGTTGTGTCTGTTACTTTCACTCTGATGAAGGGAAACTTCAACCGAGAGCAAGGAAGGGTATCTTTATAGGGTATCCTACAGGTGTGAAGGGCTGCAAAGTTTGGTCTTTAGAGGACAAACGATGCATTGTAAGTCGGAATGTAACATTCAAAGAAGATGAATGCTACAAAGATCTGATGAAACAAAACGGTGTATCGAGGGAAAGAGAAATTGCCTTTCTGGACGTGGAGCTGGGTATTTCATCAACAATAGATACTAGCTCAGGGGGAGAGACTCGAGGTGGAACTCAAAGAGGAGGTGGTGAGTCTAGTTCAGATGTAGTGAACATTGACAGTGAAGGTGATGTATCAGGAAGTAATACTGATCCTGAGCCAGAGACCGATGGTTATAGGTTGGCTCGTGACAGACAAAGACGAGACAATATCAGGCCTCCTCAAAGGTACGATGATGAGTTTGTCCACATGGCTTTACTTGCATCCGAGGATGGAGATCCAGTTGAGCCTACAGACTTTAAAGCTGCAATGAGAGATCTTGAAAGCAAGAATTAGAAAAGGGCTTCTGATGAAGAAATGGATTCTCTTCCTAAGAACTCTACTTGGTCGCTGGTTAATAGGCCAAAAGGAAGAAAGGTAATAGGCTGCAAATGGATCTTTAAGAGGAAACCGGGCATTCTAGGGGTAGAAGAACCCCGTTATAAAGCTATGCTCGTGGCAAAAGGATATGCTCAGAAGGAGGGTGTGGATTACAACGAGATTTTTTCTCCGGTTGTCAAGCATGTATCAATTCGATACTTGATGTCTATTTTCATAAATGAGAACATGGAGCTTGAGAAATTAGATGTGAAGACGGCCTTCTTACACGGAGACTTGGAAGAAGAAATCTACATGGACTAACCGGAGGGATATATTGAGAAGGGCAAGGAAGGTCTCGTATGTCTGTTGAGGAAGTCGCTGTATGGACTAAAACAGAGTCCAAGACAGTGGAACCAGAAGTTCAACACATTTATGATGGAGATTGGCTTCAAGAGAAGCGATCATGACTAGTGTGTATACATCAAATGTGTTTCAGGCTTATATGTCTATCTCTTGCTGTACGTAGATGACATGCTGGTGGCTTGCAAGGATATGAGGGTTATTAAATCTCTAAAGGATCAGCTCAGCTCAAAGTTTGAGATGAAGGATCTTGGAGCTGCAAGAAAGATTCTTGGTATTGATATCATTAGAGATCGGAAAGTGGGAACTTTAAGATTGTCTCAGGAGAATTACATGGAGAAAGTTCTTAAGAGCTTTAATATGGATCAAGCCAAGGCGGTAAACACACCTATTGGAGCTCATTTCAAACTCGCATCTGCAACAAAGAAGGAGATTAAAGCAGATTCAGAGTACATGAGGTCAGTTCCTTATTGTAATGCAGTCGGTAGTTTGATGTATGGAATGATAGGTACTAGACCGGATCTTTCATATCCTGTTGGATTGGTGAGTAGGTTCATGAATAATCTAGTTAAGGTGCATTGGGTGGCTGTTAAATGGATTCTGAGATATGTTAAAGGGACTAAAGGAATGAGTTTGGTGTATAAGAAATGTTTCAGATTTCAAAGTTTGTGGATTCTGTGATTCGGATTATGCAGTGGATTTAGATCGGAGAAGATCTATATCAGGTTATGCTTTTGTCTCTGGTGGGAGTGTCATTAGCTGGAACTCAAGTCTTCAAAAGGTGGTAGCATTGTCCACTACAGAATCCGAATATGTCTTGATGACAGAAGCTGCAAAAGAAGCCGTGTGGTTGAGAGGTTTAAGCAGTGAGTTTGGTTACTCTCAAGAGTGGGTGGAGATTTTTTGTGATTCTCAGAGTGCTTTGGCATTAGCAAAGAACAATGTTCATCATGAATGTACAAAACACATGGCGGTGAAACTGAGCTTTGTAAGAGAAAGGGTGAAGATGAAGTACAGGTTTCAAAAATACATACTATTGAGAACCCTGCGGATATCTTCACGAAAGTATTGGAGGTTGGTATGTTCAAGCAGCTGATAAGCTTGCTTGGCGTCTCTGAAGCTTGATCGGAGAGAAATCGAGGTCGGAATTTACTGTGCACAAGGAGGCTAGTTGGTTTGTCAACCAAGGTGGGGTTTGTCGGATGTATTGGTCAACAAAACCAGCTAGCTGAAGTAGAAGGTTCCAGTTTAGGAACTTGATCTGAACCAATGCAGAAATCAGGAGGTTTGATTTCTGTTTAATGTGGGTTCGATTAAAGTGCAAACGTCGTCGTAAGCAGTCGTCTTCTTGATGAGGAAAATATCTTCTCGAGCTCAGTCCAGACCGTTAGCGCGTGAGCTCAATCGCTGAATCAGTTAGAGGTTGTTAGATTCAGAAATTGGACTTGTATTACTGTAATCGGTGAACGACGAGAGCTAGAGAGAGAGATTCAGTTGTATCCTAGAGAGAGAACAATTATAATTGAGGGAAAACAGAAGAGAGATTTTCCGGTGAGTGAAATTGTTTCTCGGGGTTTTCCGGTGAGAGAAAGAACGTTTGTACGGTGGTGCTTAGTGAATTCCGAGAAATCCTCGGCCAGACGTAGGGTAGCGGTTTAGCTTCCGAACTGGATAAATCTCTTGTGCTATTTACTTTCTGCAAATTCTTTATCTCGTGTTTAGTTCTAGTAACAAGTAAAATCGATTGCGAAGATTGATCAGTGGTGAGATTTATAGAGTGAAATCGCAACAAGAAAAAATATCCCACTTTGAAGATGGCTGGCTAGATGGGAGATCAAAAGTACATGATGTGTTACCTATTATATATTGATTAATGGCTTAACATCTCATTGTTCAGAAGAATAATATGAATATAGGCATGTAGATGAATTTATTAAGAAAATAAATGGCATTACAAAGGTTGGTCAATTAGAGTTTTGGGTTGGATTGTGTAAGCTTTGTGGATTTATTTCTCTAAGTTCTCTAAGTTTTAAGTTAGGTTTCAATTGTTTGGGTCATCATACGTAGTTTAGTTTTGCTAAATCATCATACGTAGTTGAATCATTAGAATAAATTTAATAATATGTAATAGATAAACTGAACTAAAAACTAAAATTGGATATAATTACATTCACAAAACTAATAGTACAAATTGTGAAATATATGGTGAAGTCACAAAGTTTGTATGATTACGAGACGTTACGTGTACAATAGGAGATTCATGTATATATGGCTTTCTTGAGTTTTTTTTTTAGTGACGAATGAGTTTCCAAGGATCACCAAATTCTACAACCTCATGATCACTTTTTTGAACCATTTATTCATTTTAATCTTTGGCGACGTGTTTCTAATGGAAACTAAGAAGAAATCTATAAAATCAATAATCAAATATTTCCGAGATTTTAACCGAGAGATGGTTCGGAGCAGCAAATGGGACAAATCTTCTTCGTCTGAAGCCATTTGGTTATACATTCAGAGTGGTATGGATGATTACAAAGTCGGAGAACGACCAAAGATTCTGCTTCTTCAAACTCCATTTGGCAAACCACACAACGATCAATCTCGTTTTTGTTATGTGAAAAAACGTAGGTAGATGCGTTCAAACACGTAGAGATTTCAGTCGGAGTTAGCCCACGTTTCTCGACTCCAATAAAATCTCCAAGGGCAATCAGTTCCTCGTAAGACAACTGGTCGGGGTCAATCTCATCTTCTTCTTCCAAGAAATCATCCTCTTCAAGGTTAGAGTCGCTTTCTTGGTCCTCAAGAAACTCATTGATTTCGTCTTCTTCTACTCCAAACCCATTGCTATCGAAATACTCATAATAATTCTCATTGCTTTCTTCTCCTTCTTCTTCGTCTTCAGACTCTTCATCACTTTCCATCATTGAAAGCATTGAGGAGGACAAATCATGAATAGGAGGGGCAAAATGGGAATTAGCTTGGGAAGCAGCGAGAGCAATTTCAGAATTTGCTTGCTCGAAGAGAATTAGATCGGGAAGTTTGTTTGGAGTTTGCTTAGGCTCTTCTTCTTGGTTATTATCCATTGGAGAAGAAGAAGCAGCTTGGATTGTGGTTAAGACTCTGGTATTTTATACCAAAATGGCTTTCATGTCAAAGAGGTTACTTAAGCAACAAGAAATGAATAATGAGCACAGCTTCCGTACAAAGTAATACAAAAGAAACGTGGGGAAGTTAGGGTATCCTTTTTTCACTGTTGTAAGCAAAGTAATGCATTAAATTTAATAGATAAATCTGCATTTTTCCTTAACTTTGGGTTTCCAAGAAAGACAGAAAAATCATAGATTGGAGAAAGCATATTTGGATACTAGACTATAGTTAAAGTGATTAATATTTTTTAGTTAATGTTTATGTGAAATTGAACTTGGTTAAATGTTAAAAGCTCAAATGTTATTAAACACAAAAAAATACTCAACAAGGGAAATAAAAATTTCATCACACAACAACTAAAAGTTAAAACATTTCACACGATTCGGGAACACATCAAGCATCATGGACACGATAGTCAAGCTTAGCAAGACCACCTGGTTTAATAGTTAGAAAGCATCTTCATCTCTTCCTTGAACCTAGCCATCGCTTCCCTGGGAAGTGTTACCAACACTCGAGCGCCACCTCTCATCTCCGGAACCGCCTTTGACACCGGCAATACGATCCAGAAAAGTGGGTCTGTCTTCGAAATTAAAGGTATGATGTTCACTAAACCTCCCCAACCATCGTAATGTAGACCGATTTGCCTCCAATCCGAGAGCATCATGGATCCTATGCCGATGCTCTCAGTCGATGCCTTCACTCTTGTCTCAATCTCGCTAAGTTGTCCCAACACGTACTGCTTGTCTAGCGCTGCTCTCTTCATATCTTTAATGAGGCTCACGACATGAGACAATGACGATTTGTTCAGTTCGCTAGCTGTCGATGCCACGAAGCCGCTGAGAAATGCATTGCCGTAGTAGCCTTGTGGTAATGGCGGCTCTATAATGCCTCGAATACCAATGGCTAACCCTAGGTACATAGTCTCATCTGGACTCATATTCAAGGCTCGGCATCGTGCTCTCCAAACATGGGCCGCAATAATCTCTAGAGTCGTGACCACAACCTTTTTCTTGTTCTCGTTCTCGTTCTCATTCTCGTTCTCATTTGTAATTTGCTCGTCCTCTGCAATTGTTTTCTTGAGTTTCATAATATCTTCGGGGGTAATGTTCAGGATCTCACGGACCATGTCGTCAGTACACAACGATGATACAATGTTCGGCAAATCAACAGGGTCTTCTAGTTTTCCTATAAGTAGTTTGAAATCAAAACTTTTAGCTAGTTGTATTAATCATAAATAAATGAGAACTCCAAACCACGTTTGCATTATGTATACAAATAACAAAAGATATATGTTACGAAATTGTAAAGTACTCAAGTTTGAATGGATGTAGTTTTTTTTTTTTTTTTAAACATGTAACACAAATGCAAAGATTTGTTCTTGAACATGTCATATATATATGTACCATGAAAGATTATAAATTGTTGCATACCATTATAGGTGAGCCTTTCTCTATCCCATACGGGGATGACGCTGGGTTCTTTCTGTCCGGAGGCAAGCTCAATCATTCCTCGGAAAAACTGAGCCATTCCAACTCCATCACAGACGGAGTGCGAGTGAGCCATTCCAATAGTGATTCCTCCACATGCAAACTTGGTGACCTGAAAAGCCAGAGGGTCGTATCCCTCACAACCCTTCACAGGTTCGTAACAAGGCACGAGGTCGTAGGCTGCGTCCCCAGCACTGTCCAAGTAATTGAGGGAAGCGAGGGTGCACGAGGCGGTTGCACTTATAAATGGGACTCCATCTCCGTCTTTGCAACTCAGCTCAAGTCTATAGTCATTGGATTTCCGGTGAAGTTTTCCGGCGAGAGGGTAGTAGTAGAAAAGGGCATGAGAGAGGGCATCTTGGAGAAGAGAAGCCGGGTCGTGGTTGACCTTATCTTCAAGGTAGGGTTTTGGGGCGTAGACGCATATGGTTTTGAGGATCATTTCCAAGTAAGGATCGTTGTCGATGGTGGAGAGAGACAGAGAGACATGAGGTGTTGGCTTTGAGGGTTTTACTAGAACCACTTCTGATTTCTCAACGACCAAGAGACTTGAACTGTCTTCACTTGCGATGTCCATTTCTCTGTTTGCTTTTGTATAGAACGCTTTTTTGTGTGTATAATTTGTTTAGAACGATGGTTCTTATATGTATACTATTTTTGTAACCAATATAAATATCTCGTTAAGTATATTATCTCGTTTTCTATGTGGTTCATTGAAATATACTGCAACGTGGGATTCATATTGACCCTTGTTACAAGATAAAAAAACGTGGGATTCATATTTGATTTGGTAAGATCTGACTTTAAAGATTGTAGATTGCATGTTTTCTTATAATAGTTACGAATCGGAAATGGCTAATAAGTACATGTTTGTGTTAGATTAGTGAAGTTATCTACAAGATCCATTGATAAATTGAAGTGATCTACAAGATCCATTGATAAATTGAAGTGATCTAAAAGATCCATTGATAAATTTTTTAACTTTTTAAATAACAAACCAGCCATCGTATCGAAAATGGAGCTAGAGGCCATTCCAAAGCTCATGTGAACTAAAAAGATTTCAAATGTGACATTGTATGTATATCAATAAATAAGAATGTATTAAAAAAACTGGTGTTTTATATCTCTTATTTAAATTTTTATACTACAGTAGCTGTAGATTACCTAAAATTATGGAAATTAAAAACACATGAGAACCAAATTAATTTGTGTGTGTATATATTTTCATTCGGACACATGAGTACATGACGACGTGCATTCACTTATTTCTTATTAGAAGTTTCTAATGAGTATTTTTAATTCTTAAATGTGTACATCAGAATAGATGCAAGAAATTTAATGACTTTAGTGATACTGTGATACAGCACAGACAAACGAAAATCAAAGATCTACAAGATCCATTGACAGATATTTAAAAAGTCAGAATAACGAACCGGCCATCATATCGGAGATGAATCATCAAATTTGCTTAGCAACGTGTCGAATATAATTTAACAAAAACAAAGTTATGTAGAATATATTTAGCAAATTCTTTGTTGGTCCAGGGTGGCCGCAAAACATATGAAAAATCGATAAGAGAGAGTGGTTGGGACGTGTGAAAGCGATAGATATGTGGTGACCTTTTTGTTTGGTTATACACAAAAAGTCCATGACTCTTATTAGACCAAGTTCCACGTCACTCTAAGCCACAAGGGGAAGCGTCAACGCCTTCTAAGATTTGAAGAATCCCTGAAACATAAACGAAATAATATACGTGAATCAAAGAATTTCCTTACTTTGCACGTCAAGTGTTTTTGATTCTCCAATCAACAGTGTTGAGAAGATCTTCTGCGGGGTAACAAGTAACAACAGTTTGTTGAAGATGTTGTTGTTTCTCTCATTACATATCGCATAGATAATTGCTTGTGCTAGTATAAGCATGCCGGCTTGTCTTCGCGGTCATTTTATTTACTTGGAAGTTATAGAAATTGTATGAAAGTGAGAAACTATATATACCCCAAAACTTTAATAATTTTGGCTTGCATTAATTTATATCTATATCTTTAACTCTAAATAATCACTCACAATGTCTTGGCTTGCATTAATCTATATCTATATCCCTAAATAATCACTCACAATGTCTTGGCTTGCCTTAATCTATATCTATATCCCTAACTCTAAATAATCACTCACAATGTCTTGGCTTGCATTAATCTATATCTATATCTCTAACTCTAAATAATCACTCACAATGTTAATAAGATATGGAAGAGTATATTGGTTGCATACAATATATTATAATGTGAGTCTTTCTCTATCCCACAATGGGATGAAGCTGAATTGGATCTATCCAAAAAATATCGATCATTGCTACAAATATTGAGCCACTCTAACGCCATCACAAACTAACTGAGAGTGACTAATCCTAAGAGTCATTCCTTTGCGTGCAAATTTGGTTATTTGTAGAGCTAGAAGGTCGTGTACATAAGGCACGAATTTGCTCGCGTCAGTAAGCTTTACAAGATCCAACGGTCAGTAATCAAACGAAATGATAAATTTCCATTACAAAGTGTTAAATATAGGTTTATGGGCTTCTAATTTAAAACTAATTAGCAGTAAATAGATAGATTTTTACTTTTTATATATTACTTCACAAATTCTCCAATTAGTGATGTGAGACTTTCACAACACTCCTCCCTTCTCCCCCCCCCCTCCCTCAAGCCAATCAGGATTGAAGCGTGAAACTTTGTGGCAACAAACATCCACAGGAAGACCTCCGACCGGGGAGGATTCAAAGATCGGGTAGCTTTGATACCACGTTAAATATGGGTTTATAGGCTTCCAATTTAAAACTAATTGGCGATAAGTGAATTGGCATTTACCTTTTATATACTATTTCACAAACATCCACAGGAAAACCTCCGACCGGGGAGGATCCAAAGATCGGGTGGCTCTGATACCATGTTAAATATGGGTTTATGGGCTTCCAACTTAATACTAATTGGCGATAAGTGGATTGACATTTACCTTTTATATACTATTTCACAAATTCTCCAACTCCCGATGTAGGACTTTCACAACACTCCTCCCCCCAACGCTCAAGCCAATCAGGATCGGAGTGCAGAAACTTGTGGGAACAAACATCCATGGGGAGACTTCCAACCGAGGAGAGCCCAAAGATCGGGTGGCTCTGATACCATGTTAAATATGGATTTATGGGCTTCTAACTTAAAACCAACAGACGATAAATGGATTGGCCTTATCTTTTGTATACTACTTCAAAAAATTTCTATCTACCAATGTAGGACTTTCACAACCCAGTAGAAATTTGTGGGAACAAACATCTACGGGGAGACTTCCAACCGGGGAGGACCTAAAGATCGGGTGGCTCTGATACTATGTTAAATATGGGTTTATGGACTTCCAAGTTAAAATCTATTGGCGATAAGTGGATTGAATTTTATCCTTTATATACTACTTCACAAATTATCCAACTACTAATGTGGGACTTTCACAATACTTTCCCTCAACCGGAGAAGGTTTAAAGATCGGGTGACTCTGATACCATATTAAATATGGGCTTACGGACTTCCAACTAAAAACCAATTGGTGATAAATGGATATGCATTTAACCATTATATACTATTTAACAAATTAGCCAACTAACAATGTGAGACTTTCACAACATAAAGCCATTATGCCCAAGAACCCATGCAACCACCATACCGACATTATTAAACGGGCATAGGTATATCATTTACTCAGTTTAGGTAACGTTGGTCGCTGTGATTTTCATTGAGCTTCAGAAAACAAGATTTTCATTGGTCTAATATTAAGTGTTGGAGATCCTGAAAACAGATTTTGCTTTCGTTTTAATATGAATTTCAAGACTAAATTATTTTTCTTTACGAGATAATACATTGTGTTTATATACGAATATTTCGAAAGAGGCTTGAATGAGGGATGAATTTGCAACAATATAAACAGAAAAGAGAAAATAAAAGGTCACAAGTTAGGTCCCGCAGAGTGGGCAAAGTTAACATGCTTTGATCACCCGTACGAAGAGATTATGGGCCAAAATTCCAAAACATCGTAATGAACAAATTAAAAGGGTTCTGAACCGTTTTGCATTAGCTGAAATGGAGTTCAAAAGTTTTGGGATATTAGTTTAGAGTTAGAGGAAAAAAAGAAAGAAAAAGAATCCAAGGTTGGAGCTTCTATGCTTTTTTGCATTTTTTTTGTTTTTTTTTGGTTTTTTTTGGCATCTATCAATAAACTTGCAAATAAAATTTAACCAGAGGAAAGAAAACTTGCAGATAGAAAGGTTTACAAGGATGATACTGAGAAACAAACCAGAAAAAGCGAAATTATAAATATGGAGATTTAGAAAGAATACAACACTAGCCTCTAGGGGATGTTAAGGAACCTAGAAAGGCCGATTTTGCTACCATGGGTCTCAACATCAAGCTTAGCTTGAGCTTCAAACTCCGAGAATCTGAATGGCTTATAGCGACTCGATTCAAACATACAATCTTTGTCTGGATACACAAAGTAAATTATCGAGTATCTCTCTTTCTTCTTCATCATCTTTCTCACTTTATGCAACACACTCTTGTATTTCTCATCACTTAGCACCTGAAAGTATGAACTCATTTTTTTCACGTTCAAGATCTACTTCATCTGAATTCCTGATATGTAATCTATTTAGCATGCAATGTTACTTAGTAATGTATTGCTTGAATCATATCCCCTAGACCGATGACAAAAGAATTTGCAAGAGGTGTGACATTGAACCATTCCCCATCTTTCATGAACTCTAGCCCACCAACTTCGTCTTGGTTTATTATCGATATCTCCAAACTATCCGTATGAGCCTCAAGTCCTGGAAATTCATTGCACCTAGGATACCGTTGAACACGTACCACACCTGTTGACTCCGATAAGTAACTCGTTTTCTGGTCAACGGATAGTTCCAAGGACAATGTTTCTGTTATAGCTTCAAATAAGGTCACAACAATCCTGGTTACGTGCCTTCCATATTCCTCCATCACAACTCTGCATAACTCATAACACAATTATCATATTTTGCGTTGGGGGACAAAAAAAATAAGATGTAATATATAATGATTATAATATAAAGTACTTGATGTCAAAAAAAAGTACCTAGTAAATTTTCAATAATAAGAAATAAAATATTAATGACTCTTAACGTGTAAACCACGAGATGACAGAGTCATTCTGCAATTTTACTAATAAAGATTTACTATAAACTCGTAAAAATCATTAAAAGAAAGTTTTCTAGACATATCACGAGGTTTCAGTTTGCTATTTCGCAATTTCGGTGAAAGTTCTATGTAAAAAACTCGTGGTATGTTGTCTCGCCATTAAATTAAGTTTTGGCCAATGATTTTGGCGTTTCATGTGGCTTTTTTTTTTTTGTCCATTTTCCTAAATCACATCATGACTTTTCTTCAGTGTTGTGAACCCACGGAGAATTTGTGAAATATGGGTTTATGGATTGTAACTCTACTCGCCGGCAATCTTTGATCGGAGAAGTGTAAACTGAACTAATTACTTTAACCTCTCAAAAATAAAATTGTCTATGCATGCAAACTAGAATAATATTTCTCTGTATATTTGATTTGATTGGTATTCTTTAAACCAACAGAACCATCAATCAAGTAAGAGTAAAACGACGCCGTGTAAATCTTACTTAAAAGACTCGAGCTTAGGATCAGAACAAGAAAGTGGAAGAAGACGAGATATAGAAGCAAGAGGATGCCATCGAACAAGTGACCACTAGATTTTCGTGGGGCCCTCTCTACAGTGTTTCCCGATGGACTTACCGTATGTGTTCCCCAATAATACGACAAAGGAGAGTTAACGCCTAACAACCGTTTAACTTCAAACGGCAGACTCAACAGCGACTCCGTTATCTCTTTCACCTGTGAAACCAGCGTTAACGGTATCCCCGTATTCTCCAGGTGGAATATTCCCCAGTCCTTGCATGCCTCTCTCAGTTTCTCCATGTCCAAATGCTCCAAATCGATTACGGGGATCTGGATATCCTTGCTCCGGTTAAGATCCCGTTCAACGGTTTTTTTTTCTGATTCTATAGACTCGCTCATCAGAGGCCTAAACTCCGGGGGATACGAATCAGTGTTACTCATGCTCTCCTGTGAAGTAGACTCGTTGTTTTAGTTCTCCTCTCTCCTCTGTGGAATAAGTACTAATACATTGTACTAATTAACCATGAGTATTATAATTATGAAAATAAGATGAAGCGTTACGAATGAGAAATTTTGTAGTCAGAGTTGAGACAGTTGTCTAATAACTGATAGCAAAGCCATGCGGTGTTCATGTATTACCCAAACAAACCATTTGCATTAAATGAGGATCGAAGAAGGAAAATAGTGGATTTACTAATTTTAACGAGTAAAGTTTTACTACAAAAAATATTGTTAAAATTCACTTATTTTGTTGTATCCAGTATCCTACTCCAAATACTGTATGGTGCATATATATTATATATATTTACTTATGTAAAAAATATAAAACTAGTAAAAGTATGAAAATAATAAATTCTTGTCTTTTTTCTTCGTTTAATATTTGAAACTCAAAAGAAGAGTTTATTAAGAAAAGAAATTAGACAACAATGACTTGGCGGCGATCATTTTTTTTTTGACAAATAATTTTATTGATTCCAAATAAATATTACTAAATCAGTATACAAAACAAATTCAAATTATTACATAAATAGATATATAAAACTAGTAAATATAAAAAGGAAATGACCTCTTGTCTTTTTCTTCGTTTGACATTTGAAACTCAAAAGTTATCTAACATGAAATTTTCAACAACGAAAATAAAATTTTCAGAACACAAGACCTCGTGGTTATATAGTTAGAGATTAGTCATCTCTTCCTTGAACTTGGCCATTGCATCCCTAGGAAGCGTTGCTAGCACTCGAACGCCACCGCTCATCCCTGGATCCGCCTTTGACGCCGGCAATAACACACAGATAAATGGCATTGTCATTGAAACCAAAGGTATAATGTTCACTAAACCACCCCAACCATCATATTGTAGACCGATTTGCCGCCAATCCGTGACCACCATAAACCCTTTGTTAATGTCACTAGAACATGACATATCTTTCACACTTCTCTCCATCTCGCTAAGTTTCCCCAACATGTACCTTTTGTCCATCGCCGCTCTCTTTAAGTCCTTTATGAGCCTCACGAGACTAGACAATGAAGAATCGCTCAGCTCCTTTGCTGTCAATGCCACATAGCCGTTGACAAAGGCATTGCCATAGTAGCCTTCTGGTAATGGCGGCTCTATAAAGTTGCGGATGCCAATGGCTATACTTAAAACCATAGTCTCATTTGGACTCATATTCAGGGCTCGACAACGTGCTCTCCAGATTTGGGCCGCAAGAATCTCTAGGGTCGTGACAACAACCTTCTTCTCGTTCTCATTTGTAGTTTGCTCGTCCTCTGCTATTGTTTTCTTGAGTTTGGTAATGTCATCGGAGGTAATGTTCAGGATTTCACGGACCATGTCATCATCCGATGTATACGAGGAAGGTGTAATAGAAGAGCCAGCCTTTGGAAAATCAACGACTTCTCCTAGTTTACCTACATACATTAATAGTGTATATTTTCCTTAAATGAAATTATCAAAATATATTTGTAATACGTAAACATGAAAGCCAAACACACACAAAAGAAAAAAAAACTTAAACAGAAATCCAAATTATACGTTTTTTTTACGTATACAAGTTATAATCATAATTTATATACATATAAGCAGGGGCAGATGTAAGTAAAGGAGTAGCGGGGTCAAATGCCCCTTACTCTTTTTTATTTTTTCTTAAATATTTAGGTAAATTTAATCAAAATAAATTAAATTTAGTGGTAAAAAAAATTTTAACCTAATTTTTTTTCTAAATCGCCATTGCATATAAGTATAACCATTAAAAGTATATATCTTTAACATATCATACAATGAAAGTTGTTATAGTGTAGCATACCGTTAAAGTTGAGCCTTTCTCTCTCCCATACGGGGATTACGGAGGGTTGGCTCTTCCCGGAGGCAAGCTCGATCATCGCTCGGAAAAACTGAGCCGCTCCAACGCCGTCACTGACGGAGTGAGAGTGAGCCATTCCAATAGTGATTCCTCCACACGCAAACTTAGTGAATTGTAGAGCCAGAGGGTCATATCCTTCACAACCTTTCACAGGTTCGTAACAAGGCACGAGCTGGTAAGCTTCGTCCCCAGCACTGTCCAAGTAATTGAGAGAAGCGAGCGTGCATGCGGCGGTTGCCCTTGTAAAGGGGACTCCATCTCCGTCTTTGCAATTCAGCACAAGTCTATTGTCGTCGGATTTCCTGTGAAGTTTTCCGGCGAAAGGATAGTAGTAGACAAGGACATGAGATAGGGCATGCTGGAGAAGAGAAGCCAGGTCGTATTTGGCTTGACCTTCACGGTAGGGTTTAGGGGCAAATACGCATATGGTTTGGACGATGTTTTCAACCTTAGGATCGTTGTCGATGGTGGAGAGAGACAGAGAGACATGAGGTGTTGGCTTTAAAGGTTTCACTAGGACCACTTCTGATTTCTCAACGACCAAGAGACCTGAACTGTCGTTACTTCCCATGACTATTTTCTCTGTTTGTAATTTGTATAAAACGTCTTTGTGTGTGTATATGTACAGGCGTTAATGGTCCTTTTATATACACATTTTTTTTTTTTGTAATATCTCGTTTTGTGTGTGGCTATTTATATATACTGCTATATATACGTGCGTGGGATTTATATTCGACTAGGTAAGATCCGAATATAAAGATTGGAGGTTGAAGGTTTATAAGAATAATAATATTCAAAATTGAGACGGCAAAAAACAAGATCGAATTGAAAATTAACTACAAAATCTGGTGTTTATTTTTAATTTTTTTAATCTTTTGGTGATCTAAACTTTCGAAAAAGTCATGTTTTGTGTTAATATCTTTAGAAGCGTTTTAATTGAATTTCAAAGTTGACATTTTATATAATTTACTATACCTTTTAAAAGTAATAAACTTTATATATTAAATTGTATAATTCCACAAATTCTGGAAATCAATATACTGATGTATGTGAAGAAAACTAACCAGTCTTATTGTTTATATCTCTTAAGTATATTATTTTATTTTATTTTGAAATGGAAAATTTTAGTAATCAAACGTGTTTAACTCTATATAGTTTTCAGAAAATTGACGTATAGAAAGAAATATAGCACACATGATAAATCTTAATATTCAATAAGTTTCATTGACAAATATTTAGAATTTTCTAAATAAGGAACCGGCCAATAATATCGGATATGAAATCATTAAATTTACTTTCATAGCAACCTGTCGAATATAATTGAACAACAACAAAGTTATCTAGAATATATTGTTTGCTTAATATGTAGAATATATTAGCAAATGCATTGTTGGTCCAGGTGGCCACAAAAACATATGAAAGGAGTGGTCAGGACGTGTGAAAGTCATAGAGATGTGGCCACTGCGTATAATGTTTTTTTTCTTCTTTTTTGAACATTTACTGCGTATAATGTTAAATGTAAACAACTCATAAACAACTCATATCCACATACAGGGCCGGCCCAATAGTAATTGACGCCTAAAGCAAAAAAAAAAGTTTACATAAAAATACATGTAAAAGCATCAAATTTGGGTTGTTTGACAACAGAGAGATAGAATAACCACTAGACTATAAAGTAATTTTAGTAAAATTTGATGCCCCTAATATTTATACTAAATATGGCGTCTAAAGCTAAGATTTTAGCTGCTTAAGCTCAGGGCTGGCCCTGTCCATATAAGTCACGTCAGTAAGCTTTACGAGATCCAACGGTCAGTGATCAAACTAAATGATATACAACCCAAAGAAACCATGATATACAACCACTATGGCACTATATCGGCATTTTTGTAGCTGTTTGCATTTTTTTTGGGGGTTCCTTTGCATCAACCAAGAAACTTGCATATAAAGTTTATCCCGAAGGAAAGAAAAACTTGCAAATAGAAAGGTTTAAAAGGATGATACTAAGAGAATATGAATATTCTAAGAGGCTGCAAAAGAAAAGCGAAATTTTGATTATTTGGACAGTATACAACACTAGCCTCTAGGGGATGTTGAGGAACCCAGAAAGGCCGATTTTGCTACCATGGGTCTCGACATCAAGCTTAACTTGAGCTTCAAGCTCTGAGAATTTGAATGGCTTATAGCGACTCGATTCAAACTTACAATCTTTGTCTGGGAACCCAAAGTAAATTATCGAGTACCTCTCTTTCTTCTTCATCCTCTTTCCCACTTTATGCAACACACTCTTGTACTTCTCTTCACTTAGAACTTGTAATCATTAAAATAATTTTTTCAGTTTCCAAAATTTAATTCATCTGAATACCTGATATGAAATCTATTTAGCATGCAAGGTTAGTTAGTAATGTACAGTCTAAATCATATCTCCTAGACAGATGACAAAAGAATTTGAAAGACGTGTGACATTGAACCATTCCCCATCTTCATCTTGGTTTATTATCGATATCAATATCACCGAAGTATATATCCATATGAGCCTCAAGTCCTGGTACCGTTGAACACGTACAACAACAACTGTTGTCTGTTGACTCCGATAAGTAGCTCGTTTTCAATCACCGGATAGTTCCAAGAACAATGTTTCTGCAATAGCTTCAAATTATAAGGTCACAACAATCCTATATGTGCCTTCCATATTCCTCCATCACCACTCTGCATAACTCATATCACACAATAATAAATAATCATATGTTGCGGTGTTGGATAACAAAAAAATAACGACTCTAATTTGTAAAAGAAGACGAAAATACATAATTTTTATGTAACTTAATACTACAGTTGATGGCAAAAACAATATTAGTACAATATATAAAGTACCCAGGAGAAAGATTCTAAAACTAATACAGTAGAAATTTTATAAATTAATACTCGATAAATTAATAAATACTATAAACTAATAATTTTTCAGAGTTCCAAGTTGGGACAATTCAAAATATGACACAATTCGATAAAATAATAAGATAATAATTTTAACAAAACTTCTATGTAAATATATAGTCCTATTAATATCATAAATTAATAATTACCATAAACAAAATCTAATTTATACATATACATAAGATAATCTACTAAAATACGAGTATAATGATACTTTTTATTCATTTTAAATTAATTTTTTTTTGAAACTTATCTTAAATTTTAGAAATAACTTTTTTAAAAATATACAATCTTTTTAAAAACTAATAAGAAATAAGAAATATTTTTTTTTCTGTGAAATCTATAATTTAATAACTCTTTAAATTAATAAAATATCAGAGTCCCAATATTATTAATTTATAGAGTTTTACTGTAGTAGCATTTTAAATGGAACAACAAAAACACTCACGTCATATTTTTATTTTGTTGTTAAGTAAAGACTCATGTAAAATGAACACGTTCAACTACAATGTCTCCTTTGTACATTACATAAGTACCTAGTAAATAACAATAATAGTCAATAATATTGTGCACAAGGGGACAAAAAGTAATGACTCTAAATTGTAACCGACAAAATGACAGTCATTGCAATTTTACCAATGAAGATTTACTATTGAGAATTGAGATCATAATTTTTACTCGTGGTATGTCGTTACTATGACTCTATGAGTAATGAGATCATAATTTTTACAATTTTGTCATTTTTCAATATTAATGAAAGTTCTACGTAAAACTTGTGGTATGTTGTTACTATGAGATCATAATTGCTACAATTTTGCTATTTTGCAATATAGAAAAACGACGTATTTCCCCACGACAACTTTCATATAATTGTAGATTCCTGTTTCAAACTCGTCGTATAACCCTATATTAGTAGTTTGGACAACTTATTTACCCGTAATTTTGAATTTCATATCGTCTTTACCCATATACCACATAAACCATAATTAAACAAGGTTTACTGTTTACCGATTGATAACACCATATTTTGACCACTTTTATGGATTGTTTTGAAATACTTTTTCTATGTTTTTAATTGCTTTTAAGTACTTTTATTACGTTTTTCTAGTATTTGTAGTTTCAAGACTCTTTTCAGGAAACTTAGGGAAAAGCTTAACAAAATGGATAGAAAACCAGATTTTAGCTCAGAGTCAAACCGTCAGAAGTTCACCCCTGATTGAAGGCCTTCTCACCGTCTGATCCAGCTCAAATTTGGAGACCTTAAAGATGGAAGTATCAGCTTTCCAGTGCACTTTACAGCTTGGCAATCCAACGGTTCAATCAAAAGATACGCGAAGAGCAAGATGTCCCGTAAACCAGCCGGCAAGCACTTCCACCCGCGGCCAACAAGCATTTTCTCGCGGTCAGGAGCATCCCGACCGCGGCAAACCACCCATTCCCCGCAGTCAGAGCACTCCCAACCGCGGCCATCAACCTCCGAGCCCAAAAAGCCCATTTCTGAAGCCCACATTTGGAGAAACCCTAAGTGACGTCCAGAGAGGTCTTGAACACTATAAATACATGTCTTAGGAACCCTAAATCGTAAAAACCGAATACCATCTATCATTACTTCATACTTTTATTGTTTTTGCTTTAGCTTTTAGGGAGAGAGAGATTTGTTCTCTTGAACCCTTGTTCTTTCTTTATCAATTTCGGTTTCTATTCTACTTCTTAATATTATGTCTTTGATTTCGTTCATTATGTCTGAGTAGTTTTATTGTTGGGATTAAGGGATTTTCGATGGGGATATATATGTTCGGTGAGGATTCCATTGGCTATTGAGCTGAATCTTAGAACTTTTTCTTCTGAATTCGTTTTTACTGCATGAGGTAGCGTCATGAACTACAATCTGATCCAGATGCTTGGTGACACAAAAGTGTTCATCAGGTATCAGATCTAGTTTGGGAGAGCAAAACAAACATAGGAGTGGAAACCGGGCGATTTGTGAATTAGGACGAGTCTTAAACATAATGCATCTCTTCTCTTCCAGGGCCAGAGTGGAAACCTACTGGTCAGGGTTGAGAGAGATAGTTGCCTATGATCACGATAGTGGCGTATTCATACGTCCGTGACTCAGTTCGAAAAGTTTAAGCTAAGATCTTACAAATTTTCCTCTCTAGCAATGTTTTGAATCGTTCATACCCCTGAGAAAACTTCCCTGAACCCCAACGCCTTCTTCCTTATTGATTTACACCGTTTTTCTTTAAAGCTTTAGTTCAATATTGTCTTTCCTTTTTAGTTCATTTTCATTTAAGCATTAGAATATCCATTTTTATCATTTTTAGTTATTTTCGTTAAGTTTAGTTATTACGCCATTTAATTTTCGTAATTCTCTTTTAAGATTTCATTTTTAGATTTTAAACACACTACCAAACCCCCACAAAACCGTTTTTGTTCTAGACTTCCTTACTTTAACTTATTTCAAAGGCTTTTTGCAGGAAAAGATCCTCCTTCCCTGTGGATTCGATCCCTAAGTACTACAATCGATCAGATGTGCACTTGCGGCTATTGATTTCAATTAGGGTAAAACTTGACAACCCTCGACACACCACATCAAGTCCACATCACCGATCAAAACTTAACTATTTAAAAATCCAACTAAACCAAATTTTGATCCGATTAAACTTGCAAACCATGATTTGACCCGCTAATCATAAACCCATTTCTCTAACCTGACTAAACCCATTTCTCTAACCCGAGTAAACAAAATCCCCAAATCAAATGCTCAAATCCCTAATTTGCGAAGAACCCTAACTCTCTCTCTCAAAAAATTGAATCCTAAATCCCAAATCACTTGACTTATCGATAGGTATGTTGTCGGGATTATGTGTTTAGGGTTTGCAATTTTGATTTCTGGAATTCTCTTAATAATTATTGCGATTTCAATTTCTGGGTTTAGAAATTGCGATTTCAATTTCTAGGTTTAGAGATTGCGATTTTGATTTATGTGTTTCACTCTTTGCTCGTTTTTTCTGGGTTTATGACTAATCTCTTCCTTCCTCGTTTTGTCTTGTAGATTGTTGTCTCTTCTCTTCAATTTCGATAGTGGAGTGGCATAATGTGCCTGATTTCAAAGAGGATTTACCTCCACATGTCGATTCGGATGGCGAGGATCGAAGAGAACGTTGTGAGTTCGACATTGAAGAAACTATATCTCAGTTTCTTGATGAGCCTCCTATCTCAGTTTTGTGATAATTCTGTTAAGACAACGTTGCCTGGGATTGAGCATCGAATGTGTGTTAGACACATCTACATGAATTTGAAGAAAATGCATAAAGGGAAACCGGAGCTGAAGGGTTTAGTTTGGAATCTCGCCTGGAGCTACAATGCGATAGATTACAATGCTAATCTGGAGAAGATAAGACTCTACGATTTCCCTCTCTATAGGGATTTGATGAAAAAAAACCAGAAACATGGTGCAGCGCATTCTATAATTTAGGACCCTATTGTGAGGATGTGAAAAATAACTCCACAGAATCATTCAACAATTCCATAGGTATAAGTGTATGTTTTTGTTTAGTTATGAATGTGTGTATGAATTGTTTGTTTTTGTTGTTTCTTCGTGTTTCATTGTGATTCATCGTTTCTTTGTGCTTTTTTTGCAGGTAAAGCCAGAAGCAAGGCTCTAGTCCCAATGTTAGAGACCATTGTGAGACTTGCAATGGTTCGCATAACCAAGAGAGATATTAAAGCCACTAACCACAAAGGCATATGCACTCCAGATGTTAGTAAATACTTGGCAGAGTTGCGTGAAAAGGCGTCGGACTGCATTGTGAGACCATCCACCAACAAGATGTATGACTCTCAACTCAACGGGTGTACTTACCGAGTCAGCTTGGCGAATAGGAATTGCCTGCCTTCGATGGGGAATCACCGACATTCCTTGTGAGCATGCATACGGTGTGATAATCAAGAAGGGACTAGAAGCTGAAGACTATGTTTGTCACTAGTTTAGGACCCACAAGTGGAGAAGTATCTACAAAGACGGAATTGTTCCAATTTGAGGCGGCAAGTTTTGGCCAGTTGGAAATGAGCCTCGTATAATTCAGCCTGTCATTCCAGATATGCCTGGTCGACATAAGGTTACGAAGGCTGATAAGAAAAGGAAGAGAGGAGTTAATGAATCCCCATCAAAGAAGAAAGATAAAGTGTTGAAGAGGACCATGCACTGCGTACCTGTTGTGGAAAAGAAGGGCATAATTCATGTTTTCATAAGAAGAAGAAACCAAATCAGATTTGTCTCAAGGTTATAATTCATTGTAGTGTCTCATTGTTCTTTGTTAATAAGGTAAGGTAATCTCTCTTGCTATCTGCTTTATTCATGATTTCGATGGTGAAGCATCAGCATCCGCATCTCAGGTTGAATCTTCACAGGGAGTTCTCACTCAGCTTGAGAATTGAAGATGTGGTTTGAAGTATTTTTTCTCGGATTTGGACGTCTTTTATCATGTTTTTAGGACCTGTTTTCAGTCTATATTTATGGTGCTTTTGGACATCTTTTATCATGTTTTTTAAGACCTTTTTTCAGTCTATATTTAGGCTGCTTGTGGACCTCTTTTATCATGTCTTTTTGGACCTGTTTTCAGTCTATATTTAAGCTGCTTTATCATGTTTTTACGACCTGTTTTTTTCATGTTTTTAGGACTTGTTATCATATTTATTTTAGTACTGTAATGGTCGGCCCTGAACCATGTTTTTGGATAATCAAACAAGATGCAGTTTTATAATTGGAATCCTTCCTTTGCCATGAGTAATGACCAAACATTTTTAAGAACCTTAAGAGATTGGTTTCATTTTTCTACAAAAACAACACGATCACATACCTAAAACAAAGCATAACCAAACAAAACACACGATTAGTTTGAAGATCCAACAAATATGATCATACACACAACAATCCGAAAACAAATACTCAGCCTACTAGTTTACTGCAAACTACAATGATCACAAATCCTAAACCCACAAGTAACATCATTTTCTTCATGTCAGATTTGGCTTCAACAAGAACTTCTTCCACTTTTTCGACAATCTCTTTCTCTAGCTTAATCTCAAGCTTCTCAAACATCTTATTCTCGGCATCCATAGAAACTGTCCTAAGCTCTTTCACCTCTTCTTCAAGTCTTCCAATTCTAAACGCCAATGCTTCTATCTCGTTCAAGAAAGCCTCATCAACCCACTTGAAAGTGTGGTTATCATTGTTAAGCTACAACAATGAATATAACAATAACTATCTATCATCATTTGCTTCACCACAAACATATTTACCAATTTCAAATAAGGGAAAACGACATTTACCTTATGTTCGGCAGCAAACGCACACCGATAGTATCTCCGATAAGGATTAGCGTCGGATTTTGATATTTTAGCCACAATAACTTCCCCACACCAACATCTCTTTGGCACACCCACATGTTGGCCTCTTCCTCGAACAGCTGATGTTCCACTCGAAGCTCCAGACACATTGCTCATCATGAAAATCAAATTGTAACCTTCAACCACCAATATACATCGAATCAGCAAAATGAAGTTCTAAAGCTGATAAACTATGAAATCGAGCTTCCTATGATCGAAATAAGACTACAAAACCTAGTGTAGATAAATACTTACAATCGCCTTCTCAAATCATAAACGAATTGGCCACCAAAAAAATCTAGGGTTCATCCCGAAATTGGGAATTTAACTATTAGAAATCGCGTCGGATCGGGTCTTCAATCGAATCGGATTCATCATCGGGTTGGGTTTTGAATGTGGTTCGGTCAACGGTATAGTTGGTTTAGTTGGTTTAAGTGATTTCTCATCATGTTTACTTCACAGACCGAAAAATCATGGAATGTGAGTAAATAAGTTGTCCAAACTACTAATATGAAGATATACGACGAGTTTGAAACATTACGGGAATTTACAACTATATAAAATTTGTCGTGGGAAAATACTTCGTTTTTTCTTGTAATATTAATGAAAGTTCTACGTACAACTCATGGTAAATGTTGTTTTGCCATTGAATTAAGTTTTTGTCATTTAATGATTATGGCGTTTCATGTCATATTTTCTTTTTCATTTTCTTAGATTACATGGTATTATAAATATTCTCGCCTGTGGTCTTTGATCAAAGAAGTCTGGAAAGAAGATCTATCTCCTTTGAGAAGCTTTATATAATACAGATCCCTACAAAGTTTAATCCTCGTTTTAATTCTCCATCATTTGAAATTCGAATTTTACTTTTCTGCAAAATCAAAACTAAAAATTAATTTTCCCACAAAATAAAATTTCAAAACTCGTTTCCCCACAGATCACAGATTTGACTTAGTTTACTGTACACAAATTAACACTTAACCAACTAAACAATAAAAAACAAATAATAATAACCAGAATCAATGTTCTCAACCCGATTATAACTCGGTTATCCCCACCAAAACTAAATCAAATTACAACCCGTTACAATTTTTTCTTCTTCTTTTACCTCTCTCTGCATCTCATCTCTCTCGATCTCTCAATTGTTCTATTATTTAATTTTAATTTTCTGTTTGATTTGTATTTTTGGCAGAAAAGAAAAAAGGGATATTGCACAATCGCTTTCATCTCTCCTGATATGCATATCAAACTGAAATTCTAATTGAGATTAAAAATTTCTTCTTCATTCTTCTTCATTTATAGCTTTCTTCACCATTGGAAAAACAAGAAAAAAGGCACATACACAGAAGAAAAAAGAATGGCATATCACAATCTAGCATCGTCACCGACGATGAAATCACTTCATGCTGGATTTCCGTTCGGAGATAACAAATTCTTCTCCATAGATTAAATCCAGCAACCGCTTCCGGAGGCGTTAACGATCTTACGCCTACATCGACACCGCAAAGACAACTGAGTGAGGGAAAAGAACTTCTTGTGGATGTTGGATCTAGGGTTTTGGAGGTGAAAGGCTGGAAAGTGGGGAAATCTAGAATTTGGGAGGGATGAATAGCAATGTAAAAGAAGTGTTTAGTTTGAAAGAAAAATAAATTGTGGTAGCAAAAGTGAGAACGCAAGGAAAAATATGGTGGTAAGAAGAAGAAGATTGGATATGTGTTGGATTTTCTTTGGTTTGGATTCATCTTTCATTCGGTTTAGTTTGGGTTTATGGTGTTGATTGGTTGACCCGCTATCATCCGCAAACGTTGCGTTTGTGGTTAGTAGCGGTTATTGGCGTTTTATAACAATTATAGAAATCGCTGTAAACTGGTCTGTATCGTTTTATACCATTGAAATCTAAAAGCTATTTTCTGTTAGTGTGCGGTTGCGGGCGATAGCGGTTGGATTATAAAAAAAAATCACGCTAAAAAAATGAAAGGTTATGTTAAAAACAATTATAAAACCCAAACCCTACTAATCTTCTCCTATATATATAAACCCTAATCTATCACTTTTTCTATCAAATTCTAATTTTTAATCATGACTTCCATACCAGTTAAAAAAAAATCAAGACACAAGCATAAATGCCATAATACTTTGGTTTAATTTATTCATATTGATTTTTTTTTTGTGTGTGTTGATTTCCAATATGATTTCTCTTTGTTTAAAAGTTTTCAAATCTATAGTTTATGATTTACATGTATATGTTTTCGAAATTGGATATATGTTTTGACTGATTTTCAAATAAAAACTTCAATGGTATGACATCCACTGATTATTTTGAACCAGTGATTTTGATATTAAGTATAATAATATAGTTTTTTTTATATAATTAATTTTGATGTTTATTTTGGTAATTTTATGTTTAACCGCTAAAACATCCGCTGGTTTGCCAGTCAAAAATGTCCTGCAAACAGATCCACCTTAAAAAGTTAAAACATTCATGCAAACCGCTTAATAACGCTCAAAACTGCAATTACTCGCTTCCGCAAACTCTTGCACTCGCAACCGCAACCGCTGCGTTTAAACCAGTCAGGCACTAAACCTATAAAACCGATATTGGAAGAAAATAAGTTTTGAATTTTGATTTTGCGGAGAAATAGACTTCTAACTTGAAATTCAGCAAGGTTTAAACTTGTAAAGATCTGTTATTATATGAAACTTCTCATGAAAAAATAAAATGTCTTCTCAAGAAGTGTAGAATTAATTTAACCTTAGCTTTCAAGAATAAATTGTCTATAAAAAAAAGAATAAAATTGTCTACGCGCAAACTTAAATAATACTTCTCTGAAAATTGATTTTATTAAATTGTTAAACCAACAAAAATCACCAATGAAGTAAGAGTAAAATTATCTATGCATGCAAACTAAAAAAAATTACCCAAAAAAGAGGAAAAGATAAAGTAACAGTAAAATGACACACAGCCGTTGAATAGAATAAGGGAATCGTAGAGCAAAAGAGCACTAGAAATGACCGTTAGAGAGGCGATTAAAAAAGCGATTTCTGAGCGGTTTTATGGCCGACATTTTTTGACAGTTTTCTTGACGGTTTTCAACAATTTCGCCGGTGAAGCGGCTAATCTCTTCGCAGTATGCCACTCGCCGACGGTTATGCCCGATTGATCTCACGATTGATCGTGATGATAATGGATTTCCGAATTTGCGATGGCGAGACGCCTATAAAAAGAGTTTGTTTCAATCGACTTTCCCTCACTCAAATCGAAAAGCATTCCTTTCAGTTATCTATTTTCTTCCTTTTTGATTCTACTCAACCCTTCCGAAAATGGCTGACAATCTGCGAAGAGCGATCCAAGACATCAATTTGGGTGCAGATGATCCACCAATTGCTCTCCCGGTGGAAGTTGTGACTCAGGCGGTGGGGGATAACAGATTCATTTTAATGGGAAGACTGGTGATGCCAAGAAAGCAAAATCTCCGGTCAATCATTGCCAACCTTCCTCGAATGTGGGGACAAGATAGGATTGTCCATGGCAGAATCATTGAGGGTGGGAGATTCCAGTTTGTTTTCCCAACAGAAGAGGCTCTGGAGATGGTGATCCGGCATGGACCATGGGCGTTTTTCGACAGGATATTAGTTTTGTAGAGGTGGACTCCTACGATGGACCCTTTGGACATGGATCTCATTCCAATTTGGGTTCAGATTAGGGGAATACCTTTCCAATATCTCAATCATGATGTAATCTCTCATATTGGGCGTAATATGGATACTCTGATTGGAGTTGATTTCAATCTTGAGACAGCAGCACGAGTGGAGTTTGTCAGGGTTCGTCTCAATTGGAACGTTGCTGCTCCCCTAAGATTTCAGAGGAATTTCCAATTCTCTCCTGGTACAAACACGCTTTTGCGGTTCACATACGAGAGGCTTAGGAGATTTTGTGAAGTTTGTGGTATGTTAACACATGACTCGGGGAAATGTCTGATTCAAAATAGTGGCCCTGAAGGACACAATTCTGATGGAGATGATGACAACGATGATGCTGTCCAGCCGAATTATGGAGGTAATAATGGTGTTGAGATTCACGAGATTGATGATGCTGAAAATATTTTGGGTGAGAATATGCAGGAAGGTGATCACAATGAAAATGTTAATGGCCCTGGAGAACAACAGGACAAAGATGAAGAGGAGTTTAATCCAAATGCTGCGGAGGATTACATTCCACTTGAGACATCTGATGCAGAATCAAATGTTCCTGCTGTGATGCGTATCATGCTCAGCCATGATCTCGACATGAATGAGCTACACAACCCCTTTCCATACTTTGTGAATCTTGCAGGTGTTAATCGTAAGAGGAAATCCTCTGACGACTTAAATAATGCCCGCAACAAAGCAACTGTTTATAAACACGGTGAGGAAAATTTTTTAAGAGCTCAGATTCAGGAGAAAGGTGAATGCAGTGGCAGTAATTTCAGAAACGGAATCAACAAAAATGATGGAGGCGCGGTGGGCCCTGAACCACCACACTCGCCATGAGGACAACATGTTGGATTTGTCAAGTTTTAGGCATTGACTCGACAGTTCGACGCCTTAAGGAGATAAACAGGAAATATCTCCCGGACATCATTTGCTTTTCTGAAACAAAGCAGCAAAACAACTATGTTAGAGATGTGGGTTGTCAGTTAGGGTGTTTTCATCATGTAATAGTCCCACCGGATGGATTAAGTGGGGTATAGTTGTCTTTTGGAAGTCTCATGTTGATCTTTCTGTCTTATTTTAATCTCCTAATCTTGTAGATTGTTTAGTCAAAAGTAATGGAGTTTCATTCTACGTATTTGTCTTTTGTCTATGGAAACCCAAATCCAAGTTTCCGAAACAGTCTATGGGAAATGATTGAAAGAATAGCTATCACTAGAAGAGGTCAATCGTGGTTTATTCAGGGTGATTTCAATGAGCTATTGAGTAATGATGAGAAAAAGGGTGGTCGGTGTAGAACAGAAGCATCGTTTCAGGATATGAGAAGAATGGTTAGAGCTTGTGATTCTTCTGATTTGAAATCAATTGGTAACCGGTTTTCCTGGGCAGGCCAAAGAGGGAAACACTTTGTATTATGTTGCCTAGAT